CAAGGAAAACGGGTTACCGGTCGCTTCGATACAAGTTGATTCCTGCGATGTGTAAACAGTTTCTCGTACTTGGCTTAAAGAACGAGGAACATTCACCCAAAATGTTTTTCTTGTTCAATTGCAAACTGTACTTGAAGTGACCAAAATTTTCGCGCAATTTCACTGCTCGAGTTTGTATCGAAACGACCGGTTTTCGGAAAATGTGAGAGCTGCTTGCCCAAAGGACAAGCTGGGATTCAAGTGTTTCTTGGAGACCTGCTCAAAGAAAAAACCAATATACTCCACCAGATTCCAGTTGTCAACAACTAGAGTCCACTGGAGTTACCGGAAGTCTAGTCGTGAAATATCTCGTTCTTTAAGCCAATACCCGAGACAGGAAACCCTAAACATGTATGGAAAATACAATGGCAATGAGGGAGTCTAGTGGAATCTATTCGCGTTTAATAGTTCAAGTGGAATCTAGTCGTGTGTTTTGGACAACCCTTGAGGTGCGCCCTAGGGATAAGAAGTACCACTACATAAAAAGAAATTTAAAAACCTGTGATATTTTCCTACAGACGTAAAACCAATACATTTTCCAGTTCAGTATCATGTTCAACAAAGAGAGGTGTTCCAATAAAATCTTCGAAACAATTCTGCCTTCCCACGACCCCACTTCAAATTCACGTAACAATCAAACATACCAAGTGTTGTTTCAGTGTTGTTTGAAGCGTCATTAGGGACCCTCGCCACGTAATGAACTTGTGGAATTTCCGACGCTCTCCTGGGAGCTGTTAAGGCTGACAAGGTGCTCGAGCCCGAATTAGTTGACGCTGAATTGGTCCTTTTGAGTCTAGACAACTCGCCTGGCTCAAAAAACTTCTCGTACCTCTTCTGTAAAGAGTCGTAAAAATCAAAAGCAATATTATTCACATGCTTGACAAGCGCTTAAGGTTTAAGCGTGCTTTGTAACCGAGCCTTTTAGAAGAATCTTGGAGCTCAAACGGATCGAGAAGGCAACTCGGTGCCACTTCACACCGAGAAAGCCCTAAGATCACCGCCTTCTTTGACAGAGAGCTCATTTTTTCTGAACGGAGATTTCACACTTAGGAAATAAAAGAAAGAAAAAAAAGAAAAGAAAGAGTATTGCCATCACACAGGAAGCCAAGGTTATCGTTTTGGTTTATTCAGTACAGACAATATGTGTCAAAATATGTTTCGTGATTACCCATCTCTGTCAAATCCAGGGTATTCAATTTGCTATCAGACTACCTTCACAAACGATAGTTATATTAATTTTAAAATGATCCTTTTTATTATATCTCTAGTTCTTCTGTTATACTTGTTATATTTATTAGTTATGTCTTATCTTTTATAGTTAAATACGACTCTTTTGAAGGAGATGATATTCATTTCATTTTTGAAAATAATTTTTACAGTTCTTTGTTGAGTAGACTTATTAATACCAGGAATGCGTTTTTACAGAAGCCCATTAACCTGGGACGTCCATGGGCGTCTAACTATCAAAGCTCGTGAGACTTTAGGTCTATTTTTAGATTTCTATCCCTGGCCATTTACAGCATGGGGTCACCTGACCTATCTCATGCCAAAATTATGCGATACAACTCAAATGTAGCACTGTATGATCCAGGCCTGAAATGAAACATGGACGCTCCCACATTATGGACTTCTGGTCTGCTTTTATTGTTTATTGCCTAAGTGTTAACTTGTTAACTGATATAACGAGAAATAAGTTTATTCTCACAATGGTGCTGCTAAGGCTGAGTTGTTTACCGTCGGATTTACATGGTCTCAGAAGTCGGCACTTCTGCGCATTGGGTGTCTTCTGGTCAGCGTCAGACTCCGTTGTCGGATGAGCCTGGCAACGATATGGACAAAATACTGGTATTTTAACCTTCTTGAGTTTTAACGAGCACTCTTACAAAAAAACCTAGCAAAGTAAGGCGGAAGTTTTTTTAGATGGTTAACTTTTAGAACCAGATTAAAATGACTCGGAAATAATTGACTTGTTCCTCTTTATCCAGACTCCACAACGCAAACTTCTACAATATGGACAAAATTATCTGGGAAAGTTTTAAAGATCAGTGACATTTTATTTTACGACGCACTCTTGAAAATGTATTTTTGTTTTTAGCAACCTCGTTTATGCGTCCTGAACAATTTTAATACAGGGGATGAGGAGAAAAAAACGATGAGACGTTAAAAGTGTTGACCTTTCCAACATTTTGGACAGCTATAAATGTGAGTCAGGGGACGCTAGTTGAATGAAAATCTGACGAAGGGGCAAATAGTGATGTTTTATTTATCTGTTAATCGTTATTTTCTTGTCATTTGCCAAAATGTTTACTAGAAATTGTCAAGTTTATGGAATATGGCTAAGCAATTTCACTAGAAACAACCAGGCTTACACAGAGTAGATAGCCTTTAATAATCTAGTTATCAATTTTTAAATTTATCATAATCATCAACATCATCATCATCATTATTATTATTATTACTATTATTACTGTTTATTGAAATAAATCTTTTTGGACAGACACAGTTTAATATCCTACGTTGGTGAACGAAATAAAAGTTCAAACTTGTTTTCCCTGAAGTTGAACTAGACTGGTCGAATTTGTTCCTGAAATCTTAAGAGCAACAAAGACATTGAATCTAGCATTCGTGAGGGCACGTATTACGTAGATAATAAGCAATCAATCAACAAATTCACTATGTTACGGCTAGGTCGTTTTTATAAGGATATGTTATGAGTCATCAAAGCATAACTTCGCTTATAATTACCTCATCGCCAATTTGCTCTATCCAGCTGAATTTTAGCAAATGGACAATTTTCATTTTATCCTTTTTAAATTTGACAGTCAATTTTATAATTTCACAAATTTAAATGTTTGTGACGTCACACTTCTCTACTCTATAGGTTTGGTTTTACCGATACCAGTATCAATGTGGGCGGAGTCCACGGAAAAAGCGATTGGTCGAAAACGATGGCTTTAAATATCTATAACTCTTGCCCTTTAAATATGTTTGATAGAGAGATTGGGTCAGAACAGTAAGAATCTGGCTTTTGACAGAAGGAGCCAGTCGGTACCTACCACATCATTAGCCGCGTGTACCAGTGGGCTGCCGGAATCGTTCCCACCCCCCGTCACAGATTGTGCGCCAGCTTGCGTTTTCGAGGAGGTGCTTTGATTCTCTTTTTTCAACTTGTCGATATCTTCCCCTTGCAGTTTACGGTTCTGCATCTCGAACTAAAAAAATAGCAAAAATTAAAAAAACATAAAAAATAATAAAAAAATAACCACTAGCCGTCGAAAAAGTTAGTTCTATTACAATTTGTTGTGCGTCTACACACGTAGCAAAACTGAATGAATTTAGCATGATTTGTATAGGTAATAGCACGATTAGAAGTGATATCTGGCATAAATACCACGAGTGATATTTCGAAATTGTTATACGTAATTTCACAAGCCGTTAGGCGAGTGAAATTTGAGACAATTTTGAAATATCAGGAGTGGTATTTATGCCAAATATGAAGTACAAATCATGCTATTATTTGTTTATACTGCTACCCGGAAAAGGTTTGTAATTTTCACATGTAGGTATTTCAAATTAAGGTGAAATACCACTGCTTTAAGCCAATCAAATTGCAGAAATTTCTCATGTAGTAGTATAAGCATGCAAATACAGCTTCTTGTAAGCACCCCATGAGTTGGAGTGCCTATGTATTACCACTATAGCGTGTTATTTTTCTATTGTTTCTTATTGGGAGCCTTAATCCTGAGAAGAGAAGCCATCTAAAATATAGACGTTGGAGGAGTTAAGGTACATGCAGTCGACTCCCGATAACTCGAACCCTCGCTAACTCGAACCTAAATCGATTTACCCTGGATTTCCGTCATACATTCACAGTAATTTTACCCTCGGTAACTCGAACCCTCGGTAACTCGAACCCTCGGTAACTCGAACTCCCGCTAACTCGAACCAATTTCGTTTCTCCTCAGGTCATTTTCATACAATTTTACCCTCGATAACTCGAACCGTGTTTTGAGCCCTTAAAAAGTGCGGCAAAAAGCCATCTACGGGCGTCCGAAACATTGAATTATGGATTTCCTATTGAGGTGTTGAAGGAGTATACTTTACTAGTGGAGGCTGATGTTCATTGTCACAGGCTAACGTGAAGCAGCTTTTCTTCTCAAAACAGTAAAACGCATGCTCTATTTAGGCTATGTTTTGTTACGTTATGTTCTGATTTATAATCGAGAAGTACCTTTTAATTTTCACTTGACATTTCTACAATTAGATGTGATTAAAGGGAACCTCCACTTCAACAAAAAGATAACATTAAATCACAGGAAATAACTGTTACAGTCAAGTCAATCTAAAATATTTTTAAAGAAAGCGTTTGTATCCGAAAGAAATAACTTTTAGATTCGCCTATTTTTGTTTTCAAATTTTGCGGGCGTCGCCATCTTGAATAATTGTGACGTGTTACGGTTGCCCTATTGTTATTAAACAAAAGCTCTTTGTGTCAGAACAATAGAGCAACCGTAACACGTCACAATTATTCAAGATGGCGGCGCCCGCGAAATTTGAAAGTGAAAGTAAGCGATTTTAAAATTCACTTCTCCTGATATAAACACTTTTTTTAAGGACAAATTTCGAACAAATTTGTTTATCAACATAATTTTATTCGATTTAAACTTATTCTGTAGTAAGAGTGGAGGTTCCCTTTAAGATGTTTACTGTGCAGTAAAAACTGTTTTTTACCCTACTCTCGGCTATTCTCCCGATAACTCCAACCTTTTTTCGATTTCCCTTGAAGGTTCGAGTTATCGGGAGTCGACTGTATATTTTTATAAGTGTTTGCTGTGGAAATTTATATTTTTCTTAATTTAATATAATTCTCATATAACTAACGCAGGAGAAACTGCGACTTATGAAGTCAAGCATCCCCGAAACACAACAGTTCAGATTTCCTTGTAAGAAAACGGAACAAGACGTTTAGACAGATCAATTTTGCCGGCCGCCCGCCATTTTGTCAAACTGTCCAAAAGGACGGTGTTGAAGTTCTTAACCACAACATATCTGGAATATTCTCTTCCACAGTTTTGCTTTTTTTTTTCAAGGGGCTTTTGTTTTAAGAGCAGTAGGCGAATATCCATCGACACTGCTGGGAAAGAGGGCATTAAAGTTTAAAGGTGATACGTCTAAAGAGAAGGCATTTCCACAGAGTAAATCAATTTTTACAGACGTTTGTATGATGGTGGACACGAACCCACCCACCCACCATACAAATCTCCGTACTTCATTGCATAAGTACTACTTGGGAGCGACACTGTCGCGACATCTGATTCAGATGGCACACCGTGTGTCGAGCCTATGTTAAGTTCTACAAAAGCTCGACAGACTTCGTCGAACTTAACGCTTTTTCCGCACCAAATTACTGAAAACTGCCGTACCAAATTGATTCAGACGCCGCTCTTTTGCCGTACTTAATTCATCAGTTAGGTTCGGCACATGAGTGGAGCGGCATCTGAACCGGGCCTTACGCGAGAGCCATATCTTACGTTAAATTTCCACAAATCCCCTACAAACTCGGCAACTTTACTGATTTTAAGCAGTACTTTCATCCCATGTTGACGGATTCTCGCTAACTGGTCACAGCAAAAAAATAAAAAAAAAAAACGTAAAAGAGTCTATTAATATTAACTTCTGGTAACTCAAACTTGAAGCTTGTTAGGGACTGAAAGCTACGTACTGTTTTTCTAAGGTTCCTGAGATAGTGAAGTAAATCTCCATGAGGCACATACTCCACCACAAGACACAGCGGAGGGTACAATGTGCAGCAGCCCAACATGGTCACTACATTTTCATGTCGGCCAATCGTCTTCATAAAATTTATTTCCATTTTGAAATCTTCTTCTTCGTCTTCATTTGCCTTTTCTGCAAAGAAAACCAAAACATAAAAGCAATCAGTAATTAATAAATATTTTAAAAATTTATAACTTAGATGAGCCTATGACAATATAATTAAAAGCGTTATAGAAATAAATAAAAAATGATAAAATAGTGTAGATAAAATATCCATTTATTAGGTAAATTTTAAGTGATTGTAAAAAAATAGTACATTTTCGCACGTTTTACTAACATTTGAATCTTTTGAAGGAATAAAACAAAACTAGCCCAGAACACCTCCGAGTTATGGGTTTTAAGTGAGGAAAATGATGCCTCGATCGAAGGAGACTTTGTAAGCAGGGTGAATGGTACTGACCCTTTCATTCTAAAGACATTTTCTGGGATGAAGTACGAACTTACTAAAATAAAGAAACGGCGCGAAAACAACTCAAAATATCCTCTGCGAGTAAACCAGTTGGCTAGCTATTTGTGAGTGTAACCCTGGCGAGGATTCAAATCTTTTCCCCAACTGATGATCAGAATAGCTAAAATAAGGGGCGAAACAATTAGTCTTGACAACGCTACAGGCACCCTAATCGCATATTGCACGTCCTTCTTGTTTCAGCGTTGGTACATGCAACTTGCCCAAACACTTTGTGATGGGTTCCAAATTAAATGTAGAACCAAAGCTGGCCTGCGAACTATTTCCAGTCGTCCTAGCGATTATTTGTTTATGCCGCATAATATTTTTAAAGGCGAAACAAAAGGCACTAGTAACATACATAGCTTAGGAAGCCGTTGTCAGCATTCAACGTCACAAAAACCTCGTTACAGTCGTGAAATTCACGTTCTAAAACGTATTTAACAAAACTCGCAAAAAGGTAGACACACTAGCGCGCGAGGTCGCGAGGAGTCAATCGAGCTTTACTCTATTCCTTGATTTGATTGGTCAATCTCAAAACAAAAGGTTTTACGTCAAAGAAATCGTTTGGCGGCTCGGGTTCGCAGATGATACTTTTCAGGCGGAGAGAGGAGACGATCGGAAATACGTCTGCGTTCGCTGGCTCAACCAAAGCATAACAGCAAGAAAGGGAACTCACCGTTAAGCACTTTGACAGCTACCAGGGTGGTGGTGTCCTGACTTTCCCCGAGGCCATAAGCCTCTGCAAGGAACACTTTGCCAAAGGCTCCTTTTCCTAGCACACGTTTAAGCTCAAGCCTGTGGTACCCAACCTCGTACTCATCAGCTTCCCCAGTTTCCATGGCCTCCTGGATACGCTGCTCGACATACGCTGGATTGACTTCCAGTCCCCCCTCCGATTTGGATGGTAGGTTTACCACTAGGTCAAATCTTAAATATGAATTAGAGCAGCATTAGATAGTTCAACAAAATAATAAAGCGCGGAAAATAGTGCTTGCGTCAATATGGTTCTTTTTTTTTATCTCTACTGCTGATTGGCTAACGAAGGTGGTGTGGTATTTTTCAGCCAATCACAGGACCTCTTCTGCTTAGTGGCCAACAGCACATAAAAAAAGTAACCATATGGGGTGCCCAGGTTTCAAATCTCTTATTTCCTCTCATCTGTTTTTCTGATCTCGCACTTACGTCAAGTTTTGCTGACTGTTTGGCATTGATTTCTACTTTAAGGATTTTATTTTTTTACCTGTCGTATTCACTAGAATATGGACTTGACAGATCGCTGTGACGGTTTCTTGAAAAGTTATTTTGATCACCGTGTTGCATGTGGTCAGCAAGTCTCTGAAGGCCAGTGGGAGCCCTGTGAAGGCGATCGGCTTTACGCTGACGACGGTGGAAGAACAGTAGCACCAACGCTAGTCCTGCTAGCATAAAAAGGACGATTGGTACGGTAATGGCTGCTACGGTCCCGGATGAAATGCTTGCTTCAGCAGTTGATGAAACTTAGAAAAATGAGAAGAGATGTTAAGATAGGTCTGATAAGACTAGTGGAATGACTGACAGGTACGATAAGACCAGTGGCAAGACTTTGATTAGTCTGATAAGACCAGCAGCAAGACTTTGAAAGGTCTGGTAAGACCAGTGCTAAGATGATAAGTCTGATAAGACTAGTGGCAAAGCTTTTATAGGTCTGATAAGACCAGTATCATTTTGTAAGGTCCCTAATCTACGTTTGTACCTGGTGGTAAATGTGTATCTGGTGGTGGATGTGTAGCTGGTAGTAGCGTTGTACCAGGTGATGGCGTTGTACTCGGTTTGGCGGTACTAGTCACTCTTGCAGTAGGAACAGGAACAAGAGCTGATGAAGGACAAATACGACAGATCCATTTAAGAGTATTTACAAACAACATGCATAAAACCAAAATCTTAAATTTACCTAGAAGAAAAAATAAATAAGACACTGAAATCTTTGGGGAAAGATAAAAGTCGCATTGAGCTGTCTATGAAAGAGAATTGTTTTGTATACTGTGGAGAAATAGCTTTCTCCGTTATAATAGCCTTTCTGTCTCCAACAATGACAGTTTAGTTTTGTCGTATTTTGAGTGCAACTCAAAAGCTTTCTAACGCTATCATGTAAATTCGTTAACATCGTCTCTCCTGTCCATTTTATGTCAGATTAGTAGGGTTAGACACCTGTTCACTAAACCTGTCTTGTCAACTCTTTTGAATTCTCTTATTTTTTATAGTAAACTTTTTTACTTTTCCATTGTCTGGGCAGGCAGCTCAAAGCAAAATCTACAGAAGTTACAATTAGTGCAAAACTTCGCCCCCGCGTATTAACAGATACCAAAAAGTTTGATCATATCTCGCCTGTTCTTCGGGAATTAGGGTGGCCCTCCATCAAAGATCAGCTATTAGTCCGTGATACTACCCAAGTATACAAAATTGTTAATGGTCTCGCCCCGTTGTACCTGAGTAGTAAACTCGGTAAGCGATCAGATACACACACTACAACACGAGGAAAAGGGACAATCTAAATCTCCCTCTATGCAGAATAGTTACCGCACAACGGTCATTTTGCTATCGCGTTGTAAGTGCCTGGAACTCTCTGACCGCAGACACTAGAAATAGCCCGTCACTATGTACCTTTAAGAGGAGCGTCAAACGCGAATTGCGGGTGCAGACCCCATGCGTTAAAAAGTTAATATCTGATTTAGTTTAGATCTCCAAAGAGATAACGTAATTGTACGCGCATAGATTAGGCTTTCAGTTTTGTACCAAGATTGTAATTAATTTAAGCTTTTTCTTCTTATCCCCTTCTTTTATTAACTTCAGAATAGCCCTTTGGGAGAGTTAATAAAAATTTTTAATGTATTGTATAACGCTCTCTTTTTGTCACCGTTTGCGCTTTATTCACACATTGTGATCAATTCTAAAAACAAAACGGTTGAAAATAATAATGGTGTTGATTATGAACTGCTTCTTGCTCGGACATCTCCCTTTTATATGGGTAAATTTTGGCAAAAGGTGGCGGGAAAGGGGTTAGCCCGTGCACAGCCCTCAATTTTTCCGTAAGATCGTCGAGATCAAGCGCTGTACGTTACGGGTGGCCATCTTGGATGATTGTCAAATCTAATTAGGGGGCGGGGGACGGTTGTAAGGCCTGACCCATGCCCCCTCTGTACATATGAAATTAAGATAGCCGCTTGTACTGGTAAACCAGATTGTGACCAAACGGGGGGGGGGGGGATTGGCGAAATGGCGCTTCTTCTGTAGCTTTTCTTCTCCCCATGATGCTTCGTGTTCTCGCGTCTCCTCGCGCGTTGAGGTTGGATAATGATTACTTAAGACCCGTATATAGGGAGAAAAGTTGTCCCGAGTGGAAGGGTCACCCGCAAACCCGAGCTACCCTGAGCGAGCCACCTTTTCAGACGTCAACGTTTTTTCTCATATTAACGCTCTTTAAAGTTGTCTCGGTTAGGAGGGTGACCCTTCTTCTCGAAACAAGTTTTCTCCATTTTAACGGGGCCGAAGTTTGGAAGATTTTCCACAATTTACCTTGAAAACGCTCTCCTTCTACAGGTAACAGGAGACAACCACTTTTATCGAAGGCGAAAATCTGCAAAAAGACAAGGAAGTGATGAGTTAATTAGGTTCTCTTTCCTTGTATAAGGTGTATAAACTATAAACTATAAACTATAAACGCCCCCAACTGTACATAATACATAGATTAAGCCAAAGCCAAAGGGGAAGCTCTCGAGGGAACTTTTATGAAATGTCTTCCTGAAGTAAAGTTTTCGGAGCCTGCGATCCCTTGAATACCATAACTGGTCAGCGGAGAACTTTAAAAGATAAGTCACGTCAATGAGTTGTACACGTGAGCCCGCAATACAGTCACGTGACACTTATCAGCGGCTACCCTATTTCCACAGCTGTCAATTGATCATAACATGGACGTCCAATATATAATAAGTGAAACACAATACGAATGGCACTCCGCTGGGCGTGAGAGCCCCGCTAAAACGCAGCCATTACTTTTATCCCGGGTGGACATTTATAGCAACCTACCGGTAGACTCATGTTACGGAAACCTTCTACTTTCATGATAGCATGCACCCAGGAATGCCAACTATATGACTAAACCATTGATAAAGGCCTCCCTTTACCGACTACAAGAAATATGGCCACTTAAATGACAAAGATTTGTCTTGTAAGTGTTTCAGAAAGTACCGTTCAGTTTTAAGAGTTTTATTGTACAATACTTACGATAAAGTGATGCCATTCTCCCTCTGTCAGATTTGGGAAAACAAAGCTGTGGACAGTTGTCTAAGGAAATGAATCAAAAAAGGCGTCCCAATTCTGGCTGTTGAGCTCATGCACCACATGAAAACCGCAATCCCATAACTTGGTACTCGTGTCACGGCGTTTTCCCCCATTAGTTTATTTGGCGCGAACATAGAATATCACGTTTGTCCCACAAACCAGTCAGCGAGAACTAGAGAACTAAAAATGTTACTTTTGTCCTTTTAATGACGTCCAGTTTTTATTTTTAACATCCTGTTCTTTGAATAGACTCATAGACGGAGCGGGGCTTCGACTTACACCGGAAAACGTGCTCTAAAATGAATCTAAAAATAGACTACTCGGTGAAAACGCCGTGACAAATAGGCCTATTATGAGAGTTGCTCACTCCTCATTATGGGCTCCTGATAAAAAAAAAAACTGTTTAGTTCTACTTGTTATTTGTGCGTCGCCCAAATAGCGTAATCGAGATCGCTTGTTTTGATTCAAAGTTGCAATAGGCACGTAATACGTTCGAACGTAAACAATCCAAGTAAACAAGCCAAGCGACGCGAATGTCTTCCACGCGAACGACTCGTACAAGGTAAAAAGAATGCCGGAAAGAAAGCTCTGCTATCAGGGTCCTTGCTCCCATTTTGACGATCTCAAAAACCTTAAAACAAGGAAACAAACGATTCCTAAGCGCCCTGTCCCAAACAAGCGCCCTGTCTCCAATAAGCGCCCTCCTTTGAGGTACCAAAAGCAAATAAGCGCTCCGGGCGCTAAATCGAATCATTACGGTAGTTTTGTTTTTAAAAAACGCCGACTAAATGAGCGAGAGACACCTGTGTCAGTGTTTCGGCTTGGCGGCTTTGCACAGGTTACCCAGCCACTCGTCTACCTTCACATTCTGTTTTGCAAGTTTCATTTCTTTTTTCTCCGACTGTATTTAAAAGCTAAATTATTAGTCAGTCAGTGTTAACATGGTTAAAAATATTAATAATTTATTTTTTTGCGAAATATCAGAAATGCAGTAAGTATTTTAGCAGTTTTACAGGCTGGTAAGTTTTTTATATCCCGCGGCTTGATTCAAATTTAGTAGCCGACTGATGGTGAACAGTTTAATTTGATATTTTGTTCACCTTCATTCAGCTACTAAATTTCCATCCGTGCTGAAGGATACGTGCGAGTAAATGTGTGCAACGGACGATAGCTTTCTATAAGTACAAACTGTTTACCCTATTCCTGTTTTCTGTCATCGAGTTTTGTGAAGTAGTTATGTTCGAACCTTGGACACACTATGTGTGATCAAAAACATGGATTTTTTTTTCTCGCGACATGGACAATCTCTGTACTTTACAATGTGAGTGAATAAATATTCTGCCAAGGACTCCGTCTATTTGGTTTTTGCTAGATCGTAACGTTCTGCGCCTTCAATTACACCTGGCCGAATCTGTTGTAAGGGAAACCCAGAAACCAAGCGCAGTAAGATTGTTATTGGTTTTAATCTTCTTCTTGTAGCGAACGTATATGCGTGTTCAGTTTGTATTTTCTGCGGCAGCCCTTCATTTCTTGGTAAGACAAATATTTAGATTAATCGCTCTTGTGGTCTAAAGGCGACTCCCTCCTTGCATTTCTTTTGTGAGAAAAACCCTGAACCTAGAATGGGCTTATCTGACTTAGCTTCTCATGGCTCACCTCTTTTTCCTTCGAATGAGCGTTGTCTAACACTTCAACTTACTGTATGTTAACCTTCTGACGGAGATGCGTGAGTTACGCTCTGCGTTGGCAATTTTCATTACTCAATAGACTCTTACAAGATATTTTTACATTACGCATTGTATTGGCCACGCTGAGTTAATCTTTCCCTTAAAAACCTGCTTCCCTATTATACTATTTAGTTTTCTTGAACCAAACGTTTGCTGGAACCTAAGTTCTTGTCCGATGAATGTTCCGTTAACCTCGATATTTTTTTTTTCCAAGGTAACAACACTTTTCCTTAAATGAAAACGCATTTCCGTCTTATCAAATTCATAGGCATTAGACCTTAAACTGCTAAAAAGAAATCTGCATTGTTGTGCATCGTAAAGAATTAGTAAAACTATCCCGCTCCCCTCCTCTCCAATTCACTTTTAACAAGAAGAAAACGAAAATTCTCAAAAAAGTGAAACTTGTATATTTGAGGATGTCGGTACGTTAACGAGAATTAATGTTTAGGTAACCGTAAAAGCTAAAGCATTATTTTGCTGATTTTTGCAGTCTTTTGACTGAGAAAAAGACCAAAAGCCAAAGGCAAAATGAGCCCGAAAATCCTCCTAGAAAAGAACAACGAAAGGAAAAATAGAAAGAGCGAGGAGAAAGAAAGGAGGAGAAGAAAAAAGCAATGGCTGCACTCTTATTTTTTCGGTTGAAGTTTTTGGTGACAGCTTTCTAAAGGAAAAAATGTCTGAGGGGAGACCTCTATTTTGGCTGTAACGTTCTTTAAAAATTGAGCTAGATATATATTTTTCTTACCCTTGCAGCAAACAGAAATCTGATCAAAAAAGGATATATGTTAAAAGCTAATGATTAAGTAACGGCTTTCATTTTTTCAGATTTACAGCCTTAAGACTAAATTTGTCGTAGTTTTACAGCCAACAGTTCACTCTATTACTCTGTAAACCTTCTGTTATTTTGGGGTTCCTTGAGTTGAGCATGGGAATCCTGTGCAAAAGCCAACCGTGTTTAATATTGATCCTTTTTGAAAAAAAGAAACACCTCGTTTTTATCACCGAAAACTAAGTAGCAGTTATTCTTTCTTCTGTCACTTTTCCATAAAAGTAACAAACAAATTTTGTGCATTTTTTGTTTGAACGTATAATTTTAACTAACGTGGGTACCCTGTGTTAAAAGCTCAAAATGTTTATCGTTTAATTTTGACTTGTTCTACCGAACGGATTTTGGCGAAGTTTTAGTACGTTGCTAGATAGGCCACCCTCACTTAAATGGCGTTGAAAACAATTCTGTTGCAACAAGTTTGATGTTGAGACCCCAAAAATGCCTAGATTGACTAGACTAAATTGCAATCCTCCAAGAAAGAGCAAATACCCAATCACCCGCTCTGCCCCATGTCGACAACTAACTCACAGGCTACACAGTTTTAGAGGTGTTTACCTCTACCAAGTAATGATTAGTTTACACGTTTAAGACATGTGACAAACTGTCACATCCCTTTAATTTATATTGATCATATTCCGTTTGGTTCACAATCGCTAGTTTGGAGAGAAAGACATTCACGTTTCTTTCGAAATTTTGAGTATTTCTCAGCAAACGAAAATGTTTGAAAATGGAACAGCAAATTTTGGACGGGGACCGACAGGTTAAAGAGGACCACTTCTAAAGGTGGTCCATTTTTCAGGAAAATTTACACCCGGACTGGCAATCGGGAAATTTCTAAACGGAAATAAATACAAAAGCAGGAGCCCATCAAATGGAGCCTCCATCTCCATTAATTTCTTGAGTCAACCCTTTCCCGAGTAGATTTATAAATAGAACGGCTAGTTTCCCGCGGAAAGTGTCATATTTCTGTGAGTCTCGTATGTCACCGTGAGAAAATAAAATTGGATGAAGTCGAACTCAGAAGCCCGTCTTTCGACCGTTTTCCTTTATTTCTTTACGTCCGTTTTTACAATTTTACAGCCGCTGGGATCTGGGTATCATGAAATAAAAGTTAATGAATTACCCGACTGAGACTGAGCATGAAGCGATGTGACAAAGGCAGCGAACTGAGGATCACGGAAAGGTTATCTTTGCGAGTGTTTTTTTTTTTGCCGTCATACATTCCACATTTAAGCATGCACCTTGAAAAGAGTCGACGATTAAACGTTCTGTGGACGACTTGAAACTTTTCGATGATCAGCGACGAAAAAGTGCCAGGATCATATGATTTTTGTCATCACCGAGGAGTGGATTTCGCCAGTTAAGCACCGCGTGCAAAAGCGATGACCTAAGTAGCAAGTAACGAGGAATGCTTCAGTTCCGAAATTTGAGAAATTGCAGTCTTCCTTTACAACTGACTTGTACCACCATGAGAGTTGCCTGATAAAACTAGCGCTTGAAAATTTGATCAGAAGACAACAGTTGCTCGACCGTGAAGTTAACTCAACCGTAATTTGCTAACGGAGGAATTTGTGACATCGCGCTCCAGTCCAAAGACCCACTTATCTCAAGAAAAGCAAAATGGATTGTATCTGCGCCAAAAGAATTATGACTGACTAACAGGACAATTTTCAGCAGTTAATGTAGAAGTTTAGGCTCAATTCCTTCCTTCGAATTCGCATCTGTAGATCACTTTTTTGCGAAAAAACAATGGCTGGGCCCGGCGTTACAAAACATACCAGGGAATCATCACACTAGCTGACGGACAAAACAAACACAAGGACTACAAGTATTTATTCAGATAAACGCATTTCGGAAAAAAAACCTTGAAAAACTAGAAATTTGATTAATATTGAGTCATTTAGCCGAAATAAGAACCTTGACGCTCAAAAAAATTGGCTAAAAAAAACCGAATCCTGTCAGAACATTATGCATGTGATAGACCACCTTCATGGCCTCTTAATGTTACACAAGCAACCAAAATTAAGATTAACATAGTCAGAGTTTAAAACTTTCCACAGTATAATCTACCCGCTAGAAAGAAAAAAAGGAAAATCTCTGAGGGATGAAAACGCTTAAGTCACGTTTCACTAGCTCATGATTGTGTTTGGCCTGTCAACACCGAATTTCCTGCTGTTTGATTAAGTACAATAGCAGTGTCATTTCGTGGTTGTGATTGGCTCTTCCCACCGTCGGCGCGCGAAGTCTCCCCTAGAAACCGTTCTAATTATAAATCTACTCGGGAAAGGGTTGACTCCAAGGGCTTGTATGGGAGATGGAGGCTCCATTTGATGGGCTCCTGACAAAAGGAAATACGGGTTTTTTTTCTCGTCAAATAAGCGAAGCGCTTTTGAACTGCAATTTCACCTCATAGTAAATCTTTTTAAAAACGTCTGTGAAAGATCATAAAGAAAGCTTGAGCCGATTGCTAAAAAGCAAGATTTGATTAGTATCTATCGAGGCGCTCTTGTTAGCGGTTTTGTAAACATTTCGGTCTACTCAAACCGCTCGATAGATTTCTTTTAAAATTTAAGATTCTCGAGATTAACTGTATTTTTATATGACCTTTGAGTTTCAAGATAATGGCTATCTTGTAAAGCAATGAAATAAGGACTAAGATTCGCAAAGTTTTTGTCGGAAAAACTTCGTGTGTAAAAGTGACAGCCTCTCATTATTCAGGAGTATTGTCTACAAATTTCTTGTTTACGTGAACAGCAGTAACTAGCAATGCATTTGAAATATGCAGAAATGTTAGCTATTGTTGTCCAGGAAAATATAAAACTTGGAGACACTACCCCTTAATAATAAGAGGTTCCCACTTGTAAACACGAAATTTCCGACAAAAAATTAGCGAATTGTAGCCTTTATTTTTTTTTTGGTCAAACTTGTGAGGTATTGACCTTGAAAAACCCCATCGAGCCACCTTAAATCAGTGAGCAGCTTTTATGAAGGAAAAGATTTTAAACTATGTTGAACTAAACAGCTTTTAAACATATTTAAGCTTTGGCGTGAATGGGTCTTTAGTTTACCGGCCTTACAGGGGCTGTGTAACTTTACGTAAACATATATATATATATCACTTGCAAACGACAAAATCACAACTTCTTGTCGAACAAATATACTTCCCAAGCATTGAATCGAACGTTACAAACAACAAAAATGAACTTTGAAAAACTTTTAGGCTAACAAGTTTTCAAAAACCCATTTCAATCCGTTTTGTCCATCCAAACCAACTTTTGTATTTTTTGTGTTATTAATACCTTTTTAAAATGTTGCGAGCGATTATTTTCATGTTTCACTTAGTTTGGTGGAAGTTCCTACTGTTAGAATTTTGATACAATTCGTGACACACAGCTTCTTTAAGAGACCACAGAATGGTTTAAGGAAGAATTTGCTAATAACTAATGACCTGCTTATTGGTAAAAAAGTGAAGTATCCGTTTCTTTAAAACAAGAAAAACCCCTTACCGCTGGATCGGCAAGATGATCCTCAAGCTGATATCCTTGTAGTGCGGGACAGACATCACCAGGACATTCCTGCATTACCAACCTAGTATATAAGAAAACAAGCATCAGCAATCAGAATAGACGAGTTTCGTATTCCTGGGGGCCTAGGACGAGCGCTTGTTTTTGCGCGAAAGCGAGGCTAATGCGGGTCACTTCTCACCAAGAAGACAAACAAACACGAGAAAACTGCGGCTGAGTTGCTTTAAAAAAGGAAAATTTGAAATGTTGAAAGGTTTTGGGGGTCTCAAAACTTACTTACAGGCTTGACAAATCATTGTTTCAAAGAGCAAAAGGAAAATCAGCTCGTCATCACCAGGAAAAACAACGAGCCTATTAAAGCTAGCCTGCGTAGCAAGTGTTTCTGTACGGTTTAGGAGAAAAGAACGAGGAACGAGAGTCGAAGACCGCGAGAATAGTGGCGCAAGTAAAACTTTTTGGCTCTCGTTTCATTTCTCGCGCGGTCAAAACCGAAAGTCCCCTTCCTCGGTATTTCTTTGCTCCGAAACCAAACGGAAACGCTTGCTACGCAGGCTAATTAAAGCCTAACCAGAAATTGACCGAAATAGTGGTAGGTGCCCGGCGGAGTTAGTTCAATAACAATGTGAAGGTGGTTTCAAAATCCTTTAACAAGGTAATACCCTGAAGCCATTTTAATTTTATTTTCAGTGATGGTTAAAAGTTCTTTAAGTCATACCTTCCATTGGAGTGTACGTATTTGTCGAAAGCCTGCAAGTCAGACTGAAACCTTCTTTATAGTTGACATATTTTCTAGCGGAGCGAATGCAAAATCTTGTGTATTTGAAAAATAATAAACCGACGGGGCAGACGTTCTGCAAAAATTCCGTGCTCTGTCAGAGCAAGTTAAATCGGTTTGAACGAAGATGACTAAAATAATGTAAGTTTATTTATACATAAGCTTTCATTTAGCTTACATTATTTATCAAAATATTCAGTCCCATAAAGAAAAACGTATGCGCATTTCACTCGGCAAGAACTCGAACACAGAATTTTACACAGACGATATACTGAGCAGTTTAAACTCCATTTTACACTAAACAAAAGAGTAAAAAAGAATACTAAGAAGTACGATAATTAAAGGGAATAAAATAATGTCATTTTAACAAACTTTACCCTTTTCAAGCTTAAAAAGTCTACTTTTTCTTTTGGCTTCGTCGCTTTTTTCCTTTGTTCTGTTAAGTACGATCAACTTTTCTCACAATTTCGTTGTTTGCAACAGATATCCCTTTGGCTTACTGGTAAAGTTTAAGCTTTGAAATCTTACTGTTTTTAAGATTTCTATCGTTTTCCAGCGACTCAGCGCAAATTACCTCTGTTTGTTTTGTTTTTGTAAAGAAGTTGACCCGCATTTGCTTCGCAATCGTGTTCGTCCCAGGGCCGTCGGGGAATACGAAACGTGCCTATTACCGAGCTCCAATTAGTAAAACTTCGTTTTCTTGGTTCTTGAAAAAGGCAATTTAAAACAAAATCAAACAAACAAACAAACAAGCAAAAGGAAAAGAAACGAAAAAGAAGTAAACAAGCAAGAAAAAAAATATCTGTGAGGTTTGTGAATGGCTAAGAAATCGCGCGCCATCTTATGCACCAATGAGATTTTAGATCAAAACCGTTGTCGGCTTGTCGCAGCTGTTGTTACCAGTCTAGATCTTTTTTTTTTTTTAGTTCCAAAGCCCACGGGGGATTCTCTCTTAAAGAGTAAGAAGTTAGACCTCGGGGCAGAGCCTCCCTGTGTAAAACTTTGTTGAGTACTCCTCCCTCCTCAGAGTGCAAAACACATGTATTAAAACGAGCACGTTCGGCAAAAGTAGGCACGAAAATTAATTCAGATTTCAGCCGTGGTCAATTTCTAGAGGTTCCCCGTACCATGCATACAAAGGCGATCTCAGTCTGTGAATAAGAATCATACTGATTCCCCTAATTATAGATCCCACAGGACGTTTTGCCACGTTAAAGGGACAGGTTCACGGTTAAGCGCATGCTCATTAATTTTACTTCTTTCCAATTTATTATTAATTCTATCGATTAATAATCCCCCTCACATGTATCTAAGCGAACTCAGAGTGTATTTCAAAGTAGAATTGTATTCAGAGTAACCTGAAGTAGGATGGAAGAGTACTAAAATCGCAGAAAAAATTAGTGGATTATGCCAACACTACCAACGTGGTATTTATTGTTGACTCGAAGGTTTTATTCCATGGTTGATTAATTTAAAGCTATTTGGAAATATTTAAGTTCATCAAGTGCAAGTGACTGCCAGGGGAGTGTGCAGATTGGTTCTTTCACAACATTATGACATGACCATATTGCTTGCATAGACGATACAGCATGTCCCGGCAGAAAAACAGAATGTTGATAAATAAGCATGCGCTGAACCGTGAACCTGTCCCTTCAAGCTTCACATTTCTACTCAATACTCACACTTTATCAACTTACCTGAAAAATGCCGGCCTTGTCTTGCCCCACGCCTCGATACTCCAGGTAGCATTAACAGTTGTCAAGTTAACGGACTGATTGTTTTTGCGAATATCAAAGTCAACATGTTCTGAGACTATCTTTGGTGTATTTTGTTGCCCTTGAGAAAAAAAAAACGAATTTTCTCTTTTGTTACATTTAAACAGCATCAATAGTTATGAGAATTAGCATCAAACCTAGCTTGAGAAAACAGCCGACATTTTGCAACGACCCCACTGGCTTCCTCGTGAAATGACGTCTGAGAAACGAGCGCAGAAAATCCATACTGATGATGCGTCACTAACCAGGTCTGGGTAGTGCTCCTGATTGGTTGAAGCAAATTTCCCACGCGCCACGACCGATCAGAAACGCGACCCAGATCTGGGTAGTGACGCGTCATCAGTATGGAATTTCTGCGCTCGTTTCTCAAACGTCATTTTGCGGGAAAACCAGTGGAGGCAGCCAAAATGTAGGCTGTTTTCTCAGACTACATCAAATCAGAATCACACCATTGTACAACGACGATAAGATGTACTCATTGCAATGTAAAGCTAGTACTGGTTTTAGTTCTGTTAACACTTTGTCCCGCTAAACGTTTGTTTTCTGTGTTATCGATATACAGTAACTGAAAAAGCCGCAACTAAGAACTTGGTTTTTAAGAAGCTGTTAGGCTAAAATTTGCCAGTTAGGCCCCCTCTATACAAGAACCTGTTGAGCCTAGAATTTGAAACAGGTTCTTACTTTCGAAAATCAATAAAAAAAATTCTATACACTTGGGCAAACAAGGTAAGTCAACATTCAAGATCCTCTTTGGAGACGTGGGTGCCTCATTACTCCAACTGCTATGAAATGATATACAGGTTTAACAAAAGGAATGAGTTGAATACCACTAAAAACTCTAAGCTAAAAAAAGCACTTTGTTTGAGTTTTAATGTATTTAGCACGAAAGTTCTTATTGGGGACATTATTTTTTACGACCGACATTTTACATGGTCATCCGAGCCACGCGAAGGTCCAGCCGCTTGCAGTGCAAAGGGAGTACCTTCATTTAATAGTTATTTTAAGACTGTGAGTGGTGGTCCGCTCCCGAGAATCGAACCCTCGACCTCCTGCTCTGCAGTCAAGCGCTCTAACGGCTGAGCTATCCGTGCAGTGTACTTTCTTCTTCAGAAAATAAGAACCGCTTTAAGAACCTAAATCTTACATCACAACGCTCAATTCTATCGCTTTCGAACGTTTTAGTATAGACGGTCGAAAACGCATCAAAACGATAGTGTGGAGGTGAATCGATCGATGCGTTTTCGATGACAACGAAAAAACACACTTTTGAAAAGGTATTAGTGTGTACAGGGCTTAAGTTACGTATTTTACAAATTTTTATTTTTTAACCACTTATTAGAGGACGTTTGATAGATATTTTTCAAGCTAAAATAAGTTTTAAATTCCCTCCCTAGTTTGTCCTACGGTAAAACTCCACGTACGAGAACCTAGATTTTTCCAAGTCAGCCTGAACAGGTTCTTAAACAAATGGTGCTTAACTTGAAATCAGGCTATCTAGGTTCTTAAATGGGTTCTTAATTTTTGGTAAGAAAAAAAGTACTTGTATTGGTGGGCGTGGCCTTTTATACTAAACTATTCACACACGTGTGCTAACATGTGTGTCTGTTAGGTAGTAACTATTTAGATTTTATTTCATGGACATAGTGTAAGCGCTCTCAGGCGCGGATCTAGGATAAATACTGACCGTTTTCCTAAACTAGAACCGAAGGCGTAAGCTTCCTAGGGGGGTCTGGGGGCATGCAACCCCCCGTGAAATTTTTTAGATTTCTACTCCCTAAAGACACCTTTCCTGGGCTTCTGAGTCATTCAGTCAGGATATTGGCCAGATTTTAACTTGGAAAGTTTTTTTCATTAAAAGTTTATTGCTTTATAAAAACTCTGACCGATTTTCGTAAAACGGCGGAAACCGGTGTGGATCCGCGCCTGGCTCTAACATACAGAGTACTGTATTGCATAATTGACAAGAAAATAAAACAGATTGACTTTACATTACTTTGGAAATTAAGAACCTACTTTGAAATTTTAGCCTGAAATGGTTCTATGTGAAGGGTGCTTAAAATCAAAATTTCAGCCTGACAGGTTCTTAAATTTTAGGTTGTTATACGTGGGGTTTACTGTATTGCATATCTTTACCTCACTTTTACCGCCACCTCTCTTTAACGGACACTTACTTACCACTGTTGCTGATGGGTTTGCGTAGTGGAGAAATTCGAGTGTATCATGATTAAACAAAAATCCTGAATTCTCATTCAATATAAACAGTGTTGTTCGACTTACCAGCGTCGCATCCGCAAAATCCACCAATGCAGTCTGTGAAAAAAAAAAAAAAGGAATGGAAGATAAAAGGTTCCGTTTTTTTTTTTCTTCACCGTATACGGTAGCCTGATTGGTTGAAGCAAATTTCCCTTGCGGCAAGATCAGTCAAAAGGAAGAGCATTGACCAGATCTGGGTAGTGACACGTCATCAGTATGGAATTTCAGCGGTCGTTTCTCAGACGTCATTTCGCGGGGAAACCAGTGGTAGCGTCGCGAAATGTTGGTTGTTTTCTCAGGTTGTGTACGGTTGAATTCGAATATACAGAAGAATAACCGTATAAAATTGCCAGCTATTAAAAAATGGCGGAGAATGTCAGGACATACTTACGCGGGACGTAGAAAGTTGCCGGGGTCTCAAAATTCTCAGCGAACGTAGTAGAAATCTGTAGAGGAAAAAATTCATCAGTCTTGACCGCCGCTTGGTTAGCTCAGTTAGGAGAGCGCCGGTCTACTGAGCAGGCGGTCGCGGGTTCAAAACCCGGCCGGACTCAGGGTCTTGTGGTTCTTGTGGGACGAAAAAGAACCCAAAGACAATCTAGTCTGCTTAACCAGCGGGATTAGAGATCGTGTGCTGTAGCTTTTTTATGGCGGAGCCGCTGGAAGATTGGTAAAAAGTCACTAATTCAAATCTCTCTCGCGGCTGTCGTCATGAAATTACCGCGCGCGTAACAACCCCGCCAACTACGCGGGCTACTATGCGTGGAGCGAACACTGAAGCCGCATGGTCCCAATATTCTCGCGTAAATATCTGGCGTAAATATGGCCACTAGCTAAGGCTGCGTGCAAACGGACTCCCAATATTGTTGCGCCAACAATGTTGGGAGTTGTTGCGCGCGTGTTGGCAGTGGTGTGCAAACGGATGCAACAACGGGACCTGCAGTGCATCGTGGGAAGGATACCACCCATAAGTCTTTGTAAACCATGCGTAATGCGCGTGCGTGGTCCCAATAATGTTGGAAGAGCTGTACAAACGGATCCAACATTGTTGCGCTACGCTTCGGCGATCATGAAACAAAAGAAATGTTGGGAGTTGTTGGCTGAAAAGTTTGACCGGTTTCAAACTTTGCGCAACAACACGCACCAACATCCAACAACATACAACAGGGTGTGCAAACGGACGCAACATGTAACATCCAACAATGTTGCGTCCGTTTGCACGGGGCTTAACGTTTATTTGTCCCAACACTGAAGCCGCAAGGTCCCAACATTCTCGAGTTAATACCTGGCGTAAATATGGCCGCTAGCTAACGTTTATTTGTTCCAAATATAACTTTAACAAAAATCACAAGTATTTGGTGGTAGTTTTTCTCGTGCCCCACCTTTGCTTAAGTTGCTACAAGGAAAAACACATAAGGCTGTGGTTAAGCTGGAAACGTGGAGGCGGAGAGAAAGCTCGAAAGTTCCATTAGGAGCTGGCGTTGCCGCGGAATTTACTGTTTGCCGCAAAGCTTGCCAATTAATTACTCTCAAAATAGGGCTTTTGGCCATTTTTACGGTGGTGGTAGTAAGCGTTTGGTTGGGAGCGGGGATGGACGTATTTGCCAGGGAATAAAATATCCTGACCTTCTGTTGTGTCATATGTATTAGCAGATGGGGGTTTTGTGCGGAGGGGGGATGGGCGTATCTCCCAGGGGATAAAATATGCTGACCTTATATTTTGTCACATGTATTGTCACAAGTATTATTCGTGATATAACAACCATTTGCCCCTAGTTTACGCAAAATCGGTGATTTGAGCATTATGAAGCCTTGCCTGGCCCTGCCTGGTTTTTATCATGGTCTGACATACATTTTACATTTATTGTGTTTTGAGGTAAAAGTACAATTATAACATGCCCGCAGGTAGCTAAGCTAATCTAGGCGGGTCATGTTTACGGGAAATAAATACAACTAAATACAACTAAAAGCAAAAAAAGAACTAAAGGAACTAAGATTGACAACATTAGTCAACGAAGAAAAAAAGAAACGATCTTAACTAGCCTAACAACAAATACACATATGCGAGAACGCGGAGCGGTAGCTGAAGCGTCCCAACTGTAACAACTTACCTTGACCTCATATGGACATCCATAATATAGCTTATCTTCCGGTGAGAGAACGTAAGTTTCACTTGACCGCTAGGCAAATATAAAGAACAGCAACAATAAGGGTATTACAAACAGCGGAGAGTAGCTAATAAAAAATGGATAAAAAGAAAAGCAATTTTCGAGAAGTACTGTCTACCCGTGCATTGAGAACCTATGAAGTACTTGGCAGGTGGGATCTAATTAACAATTATTCCACGAGAGCGCGTTGGAAAGGAGATGGTACGTAGCAATAATCATCGCATATCCAACAAGCGCGAGTGGAATAATTGTTTTATTAAAAACGCCCACAAAAGATCGAGAATTCTTCCCGACTTTATTTGTAAAAACAACCGATTAATTTTGAGCAGACTACTACGGTCACCATATTTGGAGAGCATGGTATAATGGCTCTTGTTATATTCCTGGACTTTCACTCAACTAAACAGGGACTGTCATTGGTTGATTCTTGGTCACGTGGCCTTGACTAAAATCAAATGTATCCCGATTGCGATACATTAAGCAATGTATCCCGCTCGGGCTACATTACAGCACGTGATCAAAGCATGGTGGAAAGTGGTGTGACAGAAGGCGGGAAAAACACCGCCAGTTTTCTTTTTCGTGAATGAAAACAACAACTTGAACACAAACACGAAGCCTCAAGCTAAAAAGCAATGATTTTTAAAGTCATCCCAGAGGAGAAACAGCAGCTAGTGGAGGAAAAAGACGCAAGTAATATAAGGAAAGTACTCTGTAAATCATTGATTCAGTGGTTTTAAGAATTAAATTTGTGTTGTTATAAGTACCGAGTCGACTGTTTTGGTTCGCTCCGGTTATTCTTCTGTTGCTGTTGAAGTGAAAGTCTAGAAATATAACAGAACACTTAATGCCAGGTCCCTCGGGAAACCAGTTAGTTTTGTTTTCCCTCGAGTCCTGACGTTTCCCTCGAGGATCAGGACTCTCGGGAAAACAAAACTAACTGTTTCCCTCGGGATCTGACATTAAGTGCATAATATACCATGATGCTAAGCCAATCAGAGCTCTACAATTACATTATCCAATGATTCAGTTTTTAATAATAGTCCTTATTCACGACACCCGCCATCTTTGCACACGCTTTAGGATTGATGGGATAAAAGCAATGTCAAGTGGTATTTCAGGGGGCAAACAAGTGATGAGATTTGCCAAAATGCCTTTTGCACGATGGCGTCATTTTACTACTTCTACCAGAATCCTTCAGGGTTTTGCTTTCTTGTAGAAATTATTGCTTTTGTTATTTAAACCTCACTGGGATTACCAAATTTCAATATGAAAGAAAAAACGAAATGAATTCTGGTCTCAGTGGTAAAAAGACGTCATAGTGCAAATGGCCGAGTTTGTTTATTCTCTCAAAACGAGACGACGATTTAATAGTCATGCAAAATGTACAGCGGGAGCTTCACCAAGTTTCACGTCATTATTGCTTGCTGTGAGCAGGATAACTACCGTCGCTACTGCCTCCAAAAAGTAAAAATGATCACTTCCACCCATAACTTGCCGTTATCGTCATTTATCGTCAGTTCGTCAGTTCTTTATTTTCTGTTGGCTAGAATAAACAAACTCAACCGCAATTTCTTGAATTGGGAAATTGTATCACTTATTTGCCTCCTGAAAAACCACGCGACATTACTTTTATACCACCAGTTCTTAAAAGCGTGCGAAGATGGTGGGTATCTTGAATTAGGACTTTTAAGCAGCCGCCCCCCCCCCCCCCCAGGAAACAAATAACAAATAAAAAACAATTTGGAGGTAGCACATACACTTAGTGTTTCTTGGTCTACCTGATTCCTAGTCGAGTTGAAATTTGGAAAGGCTGGTTTTTGAGGAGAGGGGAAAACCGGAGAACCTCTCGGAGCAAAGTAGCGACCCAACAACAGAATTGAACCCGGGCCACATTGATGGGAGGCAAGTGCTCTCACCACTCCACCACCCTTGCTGCCCGATTAAATTCCCCCTCGGATATAAGTCCCCTCCAAAAGTATTGAAATGTATTCGATGGAAACGCCTTTTTTATTCCGGTTAATTAAGCCCCCCTAGGATATAAATGAGACCCTCCGTCCATAAGCCCTCCTAAAGCCCCTTACGAAGATGTACAAGCCCAGGGCTACTAAGCGGCAGTTTACGGAATTTGAATCAATGAAAAGATCGGTATGCTTCTCATAAGGTTCTGAAGTGGAGAATTACCGGAGTGCTGACATCGATAAGGTCAGTTGTAAAGTCTAAAAGATTTCCATCTTTATGGCATGCGTTGCGAAGCTCGGCAGGAATATTATCGACATAGCTAGACAGTAAAACACGAATGCTCAGGCCGGTTTCTTTCAAGCGTACGTATGCGTCTGTGGAAAAAACATATAAACAAACATGTTTGAAATTGGATAAGAAGCGATTTCGTAAAACATCAGAATATAAAATACTGCGCTAATGTCCCTCATAATAAAAAGCTAAAAAACATTTTAAAAAAAACGACGACGTTTCGATGTTCAACCAAAGTCATTATCAAGTCCAACAACAAGTGTCTGTTAGTTCAAACAAAGGTTTTTTTGTACGAATGGGATCGGCCTGGGTGTCGGATTGATTTCTTCTATGAGGAGCATCTCATGAATGAGGCATTGAAAACTTTGTCTGGCACTTGTAAAAGAACGAATGTTCTTTGGGGTTGCCTAATTACAGTTTACACTGGTTCTCTTACGCATCGTTTTTAAGTATTTATATTTTGCAACAGACACTTGTTTTTTCAAACTTGATAATGACGTTAGTTGCAAGTAGTTTAAACTGTTTATTAACTAATACTAGTTATAATTGCAAATTAGGGGAGTGCGTTCGGTGGGAAGGGGTCGGGTGGGTAGTGAGTGGTAGCGGTAAGGGGGTGCAAAGCCTGATGGGCCTGTAAGATTGAGAAATCAAAATCAAACACTTTTATCAATATGAATATCAGCAGCTGTCCTTATCAGTGTTATTGTTTATCCTCCCACCTTACAACTCGTTACTATTTCATTTTTCCTCAAAAATGCAAGAGCGTAGTGCTTTATTTTATACATTTACTTGGCTAAACCTCTAAGTAAAGTACATGGAAGTCACAACAGGTCAAACACTGACTACGATCCTCAGGATGTTCTCTTGCACTGTAGGATGGTCAATAAAATTGGCTAAAAATTGGGATACAGAAAATTAAAGTCATCTGAAAAGTTTATTGTTTAATATCATAGGTGACGAATTACTCCTTAATTTTGGCGCAAAATTCCAGCGTTAATTTATAATTTCACATGTGAAAATACAAAATTGCCATGGCAACCTTCCGTACGTCTCAGTTCCAAGATGGCGACAAAGATGTCGGGGCATTAAAAGACGCTTTAGAAAACCTAAACACACGAAATAGTACATCAAAAAGGATTCTAACAGGTATTTTGTCGAAAAATTCTGAAAATTCTGAACTTAAGCCAAATTTAAGCTCTAAACTTTTGAGAGCGTGTAATTCTCCATCGATACGATAAAGCCAGGAAAAACATGTCAAAACCTAGCGTTATTCGTCACCCATGATATTTTAATATTAAGATAGGTAATCAAATGGTATACTCGTGAAATAAGGGGAAATTTTCACTTGCGTTTTCTCCAAATCCTCAAAATTTCCTGAGCCTTTTTCACTCATCACCATTTGATTACACCTTCTAATATTAGTTTATAATTTCCGTAAAACGGCTGTTCTGTAAAAAAAAAAATGAATTGTAAACCAAAGCTACACAGCAAAGGAATTTACTAACAAATTTTGAGTGGCGTTACTGTGCCTAAATTTCTCCAGACGCTTGCTTTAGATTTTCCATATATTTGTCTGCAGTTTCTCCCGGGAAATTTCAGTCGGCAGGAAGAAAAATTTTTACAGACAAATGTATAGAAAATTTTAAATGGTGGTTCTAGCACATGTAGCTGCATGTAACGTTCTCAAACTTTGTCAGTAGAATCGTTAGGGGTGAAGCTTTAATTTACAATTCATATTTTTTTTAGTACAGCCGTTTTACGGAAATTGTTGGACATTAAATTCCCATACAAACACTGTAACTTCTCACGCCGTTGCGTTCTTGTCAAGATGGCCTCCAAAACCGTGATAAGGCTTATTTGGCAGTTTTGGATTGCAGCTATTTCTTTTGTTATTGATTGCAAAGAACTGAAACTTGCACAAACTGCTCAAATTGACCAGCTCTTTCAACTTTTGACCCTAATGTGTATATACGGCGAAGTTTGCTATAGGGTTCAATACCTCGCATGCTAATGACCAAACAATGCATTGTAGTCTGTCGATTATATATACATGCGTACGCAAAAAAAAAAACCTTCGATCACGGTGGTGGACAAAACACTGACCCCTAGTCCATGGAATACCCCCATGGACTACCCATGTGGACTACGCCGCTGACGTTTAGTGATTAGGGTTTAGAAACTGAGTGAATCAAGTTCCATCCTGGAAAACTGACCTGAGACCCGATTGGTTAATTCACTCAATTTCTTAACCCTAATAACTAAACCTCAGCGGCGTGGTCTATTTTACGATATGGGTAGTCCAGAGGGGTAGTCCATGGACTGGGGGTCAATGTTTTGTCCACCAACGATTGTGTACATACCGGGGGGATAGTCCCAAGACAAAATAGCAGCAACTCGAGGAGCCCTGAATGGAACCTCGGTTACGTTGAAGATGACACGAACATTGAACACCGGACATGGAGTAGGATTACCAAAAATGTCCTGTCCAGTCTTGCAAGTACCTGAAAAAAAAAGGAGAAAAAGCGCGCAAGTTAAAAGGGGCTGTGTCGCGATTGTCCGTTTCAGTTTATTAATAATGTCAATAACGCTGTAGCCTGCGTAGAAGTAATGGGCGCAAGAGAGAACGTGGCGCGCGAGGGAGGAGGGGGCGCCTGCCCGAGAGGCCCATGAAAATCGTTTCCCGCCCCCTATACAATTACCTGGCAGCCGCTGCGTGATCTGTCAATACTTTTCACAGAAAAAGATTGACCTCGCACAAACAAAGCGTGCTAAAGCGTTGTAATTGTACCTTTACGGCCTAAATATATCTGTTATAAAGATCAGTTAGGTTATCTGATTATACAGCGATGGAGTGATAAACCGATGATAAATACACAGCATTAAATCGTTTTTAGCCAAAGGCACGATAAATACGAAGAAAACAGAAGGAGTCAAAAATGGATATTTTTTAAAAAATGCATGCTGTGTATTATAAAAAGCTAAATATTGTTCTCTGAGATAGGAACTATAGGAACGTTCCGCACTCTCAGAAAGCGAGTGAAAACGATTTTCATCGGCCGGTCGGGCAGGCGTTCCTTCTCTCCTCGCGTGTCTCCCTCGCGCGACCCTTTCTTTCTTGCGCCCATTACTTCCAAGCGCCTGCTACGCAGGCTTGTCTTCGCTCTGAAACTTGAGAAGTTACTTGTAAATGACAAAATCACAGCTTTGCATTGTGTCAAACAAATATGTCTCCCAAGCATTATATCAAACATTACAAACCATGCACACAAATAAATTTGGAAAACATTTAGGATAATAAGTTTTCAAAAAGCACAATTGCCATCCATTTCAATCTTCTGTAACACTGTCCATTCCAAGTTCCTCAGTTTTTGTATTTGCCTTGTTGTTTATACGTTATTTTCATGTTTTGAGCAGACATTTTTGTTTCACTTAAATTGGTGGTGGTTCCCACTGCTTAAATTTAGAGAAATTTCGCGACACAGTTCCTTTAAAAGAAATATCAGAAGATAAGATGAGAAGAAGAGGATGATGATAATGAAGATGATGACGATGATAGTTACGTAATGACAATGAGGTTCCTAAATGGTGATCACAAGCAATCATTGGATACGACTGAGAATGAAATGAAGAATTAGGTAGATGGATCAATAATCCAGCCCTTTAGATTTCAAGACGAGGAGTTGCTTAAGCTACCAAATACTAAGTAATATCATTTTGGCGGGAAAACACGAGAGCCGTCGTCATTCCACCACAGGTTTGAGCGAGAATAGGGACCTTACGAAACCACGACGACGACGGCAACAGGAGCGTCAAAAAACTCTGCACGCTCTTTCGTACATTTCTTTGCCTTCACTGCACAACTACGACGTGAAATGACCAAATTTTAAGTTTACTTGGGAACGGGAACGGCAAGGCGATAAATTCTACCATCTCTGTCCGAACTTGAGCGAGTTCCCCTCTCTTCATCTCCAGCCAAAATTCCCTTCTTTTACGTAACAGGGCGAATACGGATAATCGCGAAAAAGTTTAAAATGATGCGAAGTCTGTTTTTCAGCGACGTTTTCATGGACGTCGCCGTTGTGGGGTCGTCAGGTCTCTAATTTCGTTAATATAAGAGGTGGAAACAAGTTATTAGGTTATATTAGGGAGTTCACTTAACCATGAGGACGACGGCGGTAACGTAACGTCAAAAATCAATTCAATTGGTTTTAGGAAAAAAAAACAACAAACAAACAAAAACAACAACAACAAGTCTGCACATGCACCACACTTTTTGCTAATTTTTTTTTGCGTCCACTGCACGACTACGACTTCCCTAATTTCACGCGAAATTAACGACATAAACGAACGAGGACGGATTTTTTCGTTTGTCACATGAAATGCTCTCTCGCGTGTAAGGGTCAAAATTTTGAAAAGGATACCTCAAATTCTTCAAAAAGAGATCAAAAATAGCCTTTAGAAGAAAATTAAAGGAACGCTACTTAACATCCTTCAAACTGAAGACTCCTACATTGACGTAGATACGATTATTGTGAAACTGAAAAAGTAATTCTCTTGTCCTTTTTTTTAAATTCCCAAGGCAGAATAGTATTTGTATATTATAAAATATACATTAATAGTCTAAGTTTGGTATTTATTCAGCTTGTGTAAAATGATATAGCCTAGCCTATCTCGACTAGCCTTGCTAACTAACTGCAGGCCAGTTGTAGATATTTATTGTTGAAAAAAGTTGAAGTTGACTTTCTATTATTTTTCTTGAATGAGGTCTCTAACAGTTTAACTCCTGTAGTAGATATACGGTCAACGATGATTTTGATGACAACAAAAATTAAACAACAACACTAGCTCCCCCCTCCCCCCTAAAAATATGCAAGAAACTTACTATTTGTTGTATAAAGGGGACTCGGCGACGAGAAGTTGGAGGTGCCTTGAAGTGCTATTGCTGCTAAACGAAAAGAGAAATTTGTCTTGATGACAAAATCTTGGGGAATCTTGAACGTTGTGAAATTCGTCTGCAAGAAATAAAAGAAGCATTTTTCTTAAGAGTTACCTAATATACTGGTAAGAGCCATTATGCTTATTAATAAAACTTCGACCCGCTATCGGGACGCTTACTAGAAAAAAAATAGGAATAATAATAAAAAGTCACGACACAAACAAAAAAGAAAAAGAAGAAAAGAAAACCATAAATTATCTGCCAGAAAAAAAATTTACTTACAAGTACTGTATCGCAACATTACGTTTTGCATTTAATACGTGTCCAGGGCTATAAATTTTAATGGAATCGAAAAATGCTGCATTTTTGTAAATAGATCGCAAATGGTTCTTGTATCCGAGAGTTGACCATTCAAATAAAACCTGGCGATAGGTACTTTGTAGTAGTGTTGGAAGCGAAACTGAATTGTACTTGACCAACACAAAGTCTCGACTCATGCTACTCCGAAAACTCGTATTGCTTTACCTTCCTCAAGTAGAATGTATAGCTGCAGCACACTTGAAAACTCTATCTGCGGCACTCACGCAATGAGACCATAGTTAGTAGAGGGAACTGCTGGTCCTCTCTACTAACTTTGACCAGACTGAGCGGACGATGGTTGAAAATACGCCATTATGAACGGCACGTAAGAATGACGTGATGACTTGCGCAATAGAAAACGTGATGCTTGCCCGCACTTAACTTGTTACACGTCAGTATATATCCCATAAAGAAGTTTCTTTTCGAAGGGTACAGCCCAGCAATCCCGGGTGGAAGGGCACTTCCTATATTGGCCTCTTCTACGCACGAAAGGGGTACCTTTTTCAGGTTTCAAGTATATCAAAGGGTAAGAAATTTTCACGTAAACGGGTAGGAACTTCTATACTTTTTAACTATTAAAAAAGGTTCTTTAATTCAAATGTTCCGAAAGACGCGCCTTATGGCTATTTTACTCTCGGGTAGTCCGGTTTTCCCCTCTCCTCAAAAACCAACAATTCCAAATTCCAATTCGACCACGAATCAGGTAGACGAAGAACCACTTTGTGCGTGTGCTACCTCTTTAAATCATTATATCACTTCTATTAATTTTTCATACGTTACACAAAAATGACCATGTTTTAGCGATTTATTCGTATTAAATAGGAATGTAAATATGTTAAAGGAGTGCCATTTTTCAATGGAAGGTACGTATACGAGTGAGGGTCCTTTTCTGTCAAAGATGGTATATATAAAAGGGTATGGGGTTGGACCTCGGGGCGGAAACTCCAAGTGTAAAACTTTGTTCAGTAGTTCCTCCCCTCAGAACCACGCATACTGAAGCCAACAAATACTTACCGTGTGATATTTCTTTATGACTGGTAAGAAAGAAGCTGGATCAGAAATATTTTCATGCCTCTTGACCTCCAACACAAAAATAACTGGAGAATCATTATAACGCTGACTGTATTCTGTCCACTGTAGAGTAAACTCGAAGTACTCTGAAGACAGTAGGAGGGGTGGAGTTGGAGTAGGAGGCACCAAAGTTACATTGCTTTCTGTAAGAGAAAAAAACAACACCAACTTGAATAAAAGAATACTCAAAGCTCTATTAACAACTAACGTAAACCCTTTAGTAAGTCCCCCCCCCCCCGCCCCCCGAGGCTTATTTATTTCAAAAACATTTGAGAGGGGCATATTTGAGAGAGGGGGGAGGCGTATGTTACTTAGCAAAGACAATGGTATCAGTTCTCCATAAAGAACTAGAATGCATAGAGAAAAAGCTCACAGTCAAGAAGTTGGAGGTCATGCAGCCGAGGATCAAAAACAAATCTGTACTTTCAGCCGCTGAATAAACCATCCTGGATCAGTCCAAATGACGTTTTACGGTGGTGATTGATAAATACAGTCCATCATTTATTAGTGTTCAATAATAAGGGGGACGGGGGGAGGGCTTAAAAGAGGGAGGGACTTATTAACTTTCTTCCCCTGAAAAGTGGGGAGGGGGTATTCAATTTTTATGATTAGTCTAAGCTCGGGGAAGTAATTCATGGAATTTCTGGTGACGTTTAAGGTGGCTGTGTGTAAATTAATAAGGAAATCTAAAGAGTGGATTTTGCTTAAGGCTACAAAATTCAAAATTTTAGTGTTGTTTTAAATTATTCATGTTTCCATGGCAACGATCGAAATCTTCAGTTAAACCTGATGAAGAAATGTGATATAAATGTATTTTGTCCGCACTAAATTTCAATTTTATACCAACAACGAGTCTTTAAAAACACTCCATAAAACGGAAACCACTACAATCCTCGTCACATTAGTTGGGACAGTGGCGATGTTTTCTGCCCTCCCAAAGTTGGTTTGTGCGAATTGGCATCACAGAAGCAAAAAAATTCAACACTGGGAGGGAAAGAGCACAACGTTTTGTCGCTGTATGGTTCTTGCACCGGGTGTCCCAACTTAATTTGACAAGGATTGTAGTAACCTATCCAAATGAGTTCAGCAACCTTAACACAAGAAGCGTGCTAAACACTTTCATTTCAAATGAAATATTTGCGTTTTTTTACCTGTCAGTTAGAAGACTAATTATAAAAAGTTGCTTTCTCTATATTTTAAAACTGAAATAGAAAAAAAGCTCTACCCAATTGCACTTCAAAATAGTTCAATTCTGCAGCTTGATAAAGTGTCAGTTTATAAGAATTCGAAAGCCCCACCGCAGATGCCGAATATCTCTGGCAGATATGGAAAAAGTTGACCCTTTCCTGGGCAAAAGAGAATTTGCAAAGATCTCTTCTTTAACTTAAGATATTCCTTACAATACCATTTCCGAAATGAGACAAAAAATTACTGTCATTTTCAAGCAAGAAAGTCTTAAAAATCACACCGTCAAACGTTTGAAGCACGGCACCTATGAGTGGGAGAAAGCATTCTTATCCCCTCCCCCCCCCCCTCCTCCAACTGGGAATTCCTATATATGTAAGACCTTATAAGAAACCGGAAGAGAGGATTTGTCCTATCTGTAAAAAAGACGTAGAAGATGAAATACCCTTTTTAACTCTGTGCCCTGCGTATCAAGAAAAGAGAAGTACTTTATTTGAATACTTAAACAAAGATTACAGAATATCAGTAAACAGAATGGCACCAGATGATGTTTTTCTGTTGTTAATAAACCAGTGCAAAAGTTAATTGCAAAACACGTATTCGACTGCTATGAGGAAAGAAGATCATTAGTTCTTTAGGTTAACATTGATTATAGTTCCACTAGTGTGCAATTTGTGTTATGATTTTAAATTATTTGGATAAAATCGATGTTCATAGGACTGTATAAGACTCCAAATAAAGCATTGTCTTGTCTTGTCTATATAAAAGTGACAGGGGTGTTGCCAAGGTGACCGTTATGGAGAGGTTCAACCGTACTTTTTCCCTTTTACTTACTTGCCAAGGTAGCTAACTGATCACAGGTTTCATTACACTGCTGAAAATCTGGAATCTGAAGCAGTTTGATAATATGATTAGTCACAAAATATCACTGAGCTCATTTTCATTTACAGTCAACTCTCTTCTTGCGGACACCCCGCTTTAACGGAAAACCGACAATACGGACAACAGCTAATTCCCGGGTAAGTAATAATTTACAAGCGTTTGACTGAAATAAAATACGGACTCTCGCTAATGAGAACACTAACCAGACTAACTCGAGGTTCTTAGGTTGTCCGCTATAGAGGGAGTTGACTGTATGTCGCTTAATTGTTTAATTTTGGATTGATGTTTTGAATATCTTTTAAAATGTATCAAAAAGCAGTAGCGTTTAACTTGAGCATGCTGGGGTAGATTTATTGTGTAGCTACAATCGGCGACAAAATTAGTTGAGACACTTCGCCCTCAAGAGCCTTTCTGACGTTTTGCCAAGTTAAAAAAAGGGAAAATAAAAATTTCTCTCTCCTATCTCCTCCATGCAATGTTATGCCGCTGTTCGAGCTATCTTTAGAAAACAACAAACACCCCAACTTTGAATGGAGGGGAGGGGGGAGGGGTGTGGATTGTTTTGCTCTCCAAAGGTAGTCCATTCGAGGACAATGTATCATTAATTTTGTCGCCGATTGTGGTTACAGTAGCCTGTTATCAGACGCCCCCAACCCCCTTTCCCTCAGAAAAAAAACGGTTTTTTCCTGAGGGGAGGGGGGCGTTCTGTACACGGGCTTTAGTTGCAGCGACCATGATTTGTGACCTAATGAGCAATTTAATTCTAACATGTTTAAATTTCATAATTCAATTGAATCACTTCATGTGAAAACAACTTCTAAGGTATGAATGACACTCAGCACACTTTTAAAATTAGTATTTACATTGTCAGTGGACAACTGAAGAGTGTTAGCTGGCTAAAGCAAACAATTACGGTAGTGAAAAGGGCCGATGAAGGGACTGGAAAAATATGTTTGCCGTAATAAGGATTCGTTGTATCGAGGTTCCATTCCATTTATCGTATAGCCTGTACACAGACGTTGTTTCATTTTTTCTTTTCAAAAACATCGGCGAGAGCTGGCGGTAAATAAATTCCCCGCGGTTTTTATTTTTATCACGCGCGCCCGAACAGCCTATTTATCGTACTACTACCGGGGCGAAGAATATCGTTCGTTATACCTAGGTCTTCGTTACATATCTAGAAGATCGTTATATCGAGGTCCTTGGTTCTACTTTACAACATAACGAAACCAGGCATCTTAGACAAACTCTTTGATCCTTCCCGATCAAAAGCGGAAGTTGAGAGGATTCTTTTCTTTCGCGCATTTTTGTAAACGTCATTGCAACTAACTGCTATTTGTTTTTAAATTTTACAGGAAATATATATTGCAGTTTATATAGCTTGCGCGTTATTACAACAAAGTGTTATATTTTGTTATATGTTGTCTTCCTTGGCCCATTTTCCCCATTTTTGATCTTTTGTGGCAACTCTATTGATGTTAAATTTTCACTTGAGTTTTTCGTCTTTGAAAAACGATTTGGAGGTTTTCATGACCAAACCGCTTCCGAGTGAAGATCGATATAGAAAGAACTCAAATGTTCTTCAGGGCATACTCGTAAAACAGGAAATTTTTTATACAAAATTATTATTCCATTAATTGAAACGGACTGAAAACCCCAAATTGTAAAGATTACACGCGATCGTACGTGTCATGGAATTTTTAAAAGAAATCTAAGGTGCATCTACGGCAAACATTCATAATTACACTAGTACTGAGGCTTAGTAACTATTCATGTTTAAATTTCTGTCATATCTTATTCACACGCAGTTTATGAATTTTGAAAAGGCAGAGGGTCTCTTTCCCGAAAAAGATCCAGTGTTTACGGAAACAGATGAACAGGAGCAGCGGCCCGAATAAAAAGAAATGTAACGCAACTACATTTCACGACAAATCATTTTTTCTTTTAGCTCTCGCGTAATTGACTCGACTTCATAAATTGAACGACTCCCGACCTATTCATTCAATATTGTTTACATAATTTAAACATTTTAATGACATGGTTAATTTTACATGACATTATAAGAAGTTTCAATTGAACAGCAAGTATCTGTCCAAGCTTAAAACTTTTGCCCGGCGCTTGCCGGTTGTATTTGAAATCGATTTCACTTTAGTGTAAGTCATGATATTGAACCGTTTCACGAAACTTTCTCAAAACACTGTTCTTACACCAATATCAAAAAGTATCATAGTTGAAATATATTTAACAACCTTCATTAAAATGCGTGCTAGGATTCACGGCGGTTTTGAAACATAAAAAGGAATTTATCTGGCGCCAATTTTTACCGGCGTAGAGTATACTAACAATACTTTCACGTAATGGAGCACGTTATCGGGTAAAAGCCTCGTTTTGACCAAGCTCAGACCTTTCTGTTTCCCTTTGTTATTATAAGATTTACATACGGAAACACGTATTAAGTAAGTTAACTTACGTAACTTTGCCTTAATTTACCTTTGAGGAACAACTATCGTAGCATCGTTTTAAATTCTGACTGGAGCCACAGTAAATACAGACTGCCAACAACAAGACGTCGTAAAACGTAGCCTTCATGGTTTACCTGTTGAAGGAAGAAGAGGTGGTATCGGAATGACGTGACAGTTTCAATGCGTTTACAAGTCCTGGTTCATATAATTAAGTTTCAAAAATAACACACTTTAAATAGATAACAGAGTTACAATTCAATAATCTGATCAATTAGTAGACTGACTTACCTGCGACTAAAATTGATTTATTTTCTTCACATACCAAATAAAGTCATGTTTCATTTAGAGGCGGGCGAAAACTTCGGATCGGCACGAATTGAATAGCAACAAATCACTGCCAATTGGCATTTGTTACATACTCCGTAGTAAAACACTAAATAAAGCGCCGATTCACCACTTGTTGAGGAAAGTTTAAATAAATTTGACTGCAAACTATACAGTCTTTTAGTAAGAACGACTACAAACTGTCACCACTGGCGGAGTTTTCGTGAGAATGAATTAGTTAATGCGACACGCGAAGTTCCACTCAATGGCTTCCTTCCCAACCCCCACCCCTCTCGGTCATAGGGAGGACTAGTCTGCCAATGTGGTTAAGGATGTTGCGATCGCGGTGGAAAGGTAAGATCGCGTGCCTTTTATTGGTGGCCAATATTTCAATTACGATGACATGACCAGTATAGAAAGGAATACAATGGTTTAATCACATGACTAATCATGCGTTAAAAACTGAATGTACAGTGAATTAAATGTGCCTTGACATGTTAGTTTTGATTGAACCAACCAAAACAAGCTGTTCTATTTAAAAGTAATATATATACATATATCAGTTAATCCCGAAAACTTCGATCTCACGCCAACTCTCGCGAGGAAAAATGTTGTTTTTTTAGGGCCAGGCTGAATATTGTTATTTTTCTGCCGAATTTAGCCTCCAAAAAAAATATATTCTTGAATTATAATTGAAAAAGAAAGAATTTATCATTTACTTTTGGCAGTTTGTTAATTTTATTTTTCAGTATGCTATGTCTGAGATATGTATTTCATGTACCGTTCATCGACCTGCCATTAGCACTGAACATTTGGTTATAACCAATGCAGGTTTCTTCGTTTTGTTGGGTAGCTTTGCCGTGAGAGGAGGCAATCATTTGATACCCCTGATTTGATACAGTTTAAGTTAAAAACATATTTTTTCACATTTTCGTCACTCCAAATAATCATCCTTTTCGAAATCTCAGCCTTGGGTTTATTCTTAAAATATTCTTAAAGGTTTGCAAATTTCAGCTTTGATATTCTTATAAAATATATTCTTATAGCACAAAAAGAGTGTATGCGGACAAATTTGTCTCCCCTGGCGTGAAAAGTAAGCCACTCCCGAGCCTAGACGGACATATTTTCAAGAAATATGCCAAGCAAATGTCGAACCAATGTGAGAAAAGACGCAGAAGTCCATATGAACGCTTGTATTTTCCCTGGAATTTCCGATTTTAGAGGGAAAGCACTGGAATTAAGAAATTCGGAAATCTTGGGTTGGGGTCAGATTTTGCAATCTCTGATAAAAGATCTCAAACTTTGACTGGTGTACTAACAATATCCGCATATACTGTCAAGTAACTATTAATAGCAATATCATTCATAAATCTTAAAGAACATGTATTTATTTGCCAGTTGGTCGAGCAACCATACTAAGTGTCAACTTAATTGTCATTGTATAACAATTAAGATATTGTTTCAGGATAAGGCGAAGGAAAAAAAAAACAGGAAAAAAAAGAAGAATTCCCTGACGACCAAGCCACAGTGACAATACGTAACTTCAAATTGCTCTGAGTCATGGAATTTTGTTTAGGCTGTAATTCTCACAAATTCGAAAATCGGACGACTGTTCACTGATACGAGAAGATGACCATAAGTTGTCAGTCACAGAGCTTACATTCAAATAACTGTACTGGTTCTCTTTAGTTTAGTTTTGTTTTGTTTTTTCTAACTGACTTAACTAAGGCGTGACATCCATAAACCATTGTCGAGACCATATTTCATTTAATGACAGGAATAGCAGATATTCCCTCAACCGAGACTTTATTCTCTCGTATATATATTTTCATGTATTATTTTTGTTACTTTTTGTTTTTAGTCTTCTAAATTTATTTATCTATTTATCTATTTTTTTGAGGGCCGTAGGTTAGAAAATTGTAAAAGGTTATTGCGCTTCCCTCTTTAAATAAAGTTATTGTATTGTATTGTATTGTATAGAAGCCAATAGCTTAGGAAGACTGAGTATATGAGCCGCACATAGGAAACGACCACAGAAAAGCAAAGGAAAAAAAATGTTTAATGTTGCCGATCAACGTTTGTACAACTTCTTCAACTTAATTTAGCGAGACCGAATCAGATGAACACTCAATGCATCTCCCTCTATACAATCACTTTTGCCAATAACCTTTTTTGAACAGTTGATCTTCAAATCAGCTGTCCACGCATTCGTACAGATCAGTTGCTGCAAATTGAATGAATATTAACAAATTCAGATACTTTGTCTGACAACCCATTCATCTTGAATACCATCAAATGTACAAAACTGCAAAGGCAATAAGAGCTATTATGAGGAAAAGAACGCTCAACGACAGTGACTTTTTGAGAATTTTTAAACCTGCTGGCATGAACAGGATCGAAGTATTTATATTGCTAAGTAAATGCTTGAGGTTTCTCCGCCTCTAAAAACAAATACAAAGGAAAATGTCTAAAATTCAAATACTCCAAATCATTATCAATGATTATTACTGCGCAAGTAAAGGCTTTGAGGTACATCCAGTTTAATTTTTTTTTTTAGCAAATGGCTTCAGAATTGCAAAACAGCACAGAATTTTCTCTTAGAATACCCCAAAATTGAATGTCTGGAGTTTTCATACAAATATTACAAGAAATTTCTCATGAACTTGTCACACTGTCTAAATTAAAGCTACTAAGAGTACGATAAAAATGCTTCATTTTGAAAGTGTAAATCAGTTTTCATTATTGACCTCCAAGGTTGCGAAGGCAGCAATTTTGTTCAACGAATCTGGTAAAAAAAGCGACGAACCGATCGAGTAATCGACCATTAATTCAGCTGCACTGATTAGGTGGTACACAAACGCATGCATGACATGCAGGCAGAGACGAAGGTCTGAAATATATAAAATTATGTTCCGTACGATTCGAACAAGCTAAATGTTTCGTTTGTTTGCTTTTTTTTTACATTATTATTGATTTGACATTTGCGCAAGGCAGTATCTGAGCCAGTCGTTCACATGATCAAAGTTAACAGCGGGAAATTTTCAGTTATCTTTCAGTATTTGCACGCTTTGATGCAGGGAAAAAGTTTCCGCATGTCCCATTGGATTTTGACTCAACACATCGATTCTGTACGGTTTCTTACCTTTAAATACGGTAGCTTATATCTTCTCTTTCTGGGCCCGAAGTTTCATTCGATAAGATCAGATATTTACTTGACCCAGTAACTTTTCTTTTTCCGCATAGCGACGTGAACTGTTTGTGATCGATATTGAGCAGATTAAGACAAAATGTTACACAACACTCTGAAGAATTGACTCTGTTTCTGAAGTGCCTGACCGCAATTCTACTTATAGACAAGTCAGATAAGGTCACGTACTCAAATAAGATCGCTATAATTATTCTAATGCTTTCAAAAGCATTGTTTCGAAGTCTTAAAAAGTTCATTCGAGGGGCTTGAAATATGCAGTGCCAATAATTTGCGAAAATACAGGCCAGTTTACGTTGAGTCACTCTCTTAGAAAATATTCGAGATATTAGCGCGCTCACATCGGTACAGCTAATATTTACTCTCAAGTTTGAAACTCAAATGGCTGTAGAATCAACAAGAGACTCAAACTTGTTAGAAACCACGTCTCAGACATACACTAGTTAAATACTAAGTTCAATTTAAGACCAAAACCAAGATTAAAGTTTGCCATTACGGGTCAATCGACATATTCACTTTTTCCCCGCTTAACGTCAACTGGAGGTTTAGGTCAGACCCCCTCCCCCCTCCCCCTCCTTAACATCCACTTGGAATTTTACTGCCCCAAAAATCACTGCATTCCAGAAGGAACACTGAAATGCACTGGGTAAAGATGTCAACGGTATGAGGACAATTTAATTACTGCTTTTAAAACGTGGTAGAAACTAAATGCTTTAGGATGGAGTTTAAAAGGTCACAATTAACACTCACTTCTTTTAATTGGTCCTGCTTTTCTCCTAAATAATGACAGGAACGCCTTTCCACACATGACATAACATCTATGAAAATGCATCAGTTTACTTTTGTCCTAAATGCCCCGCACTAACGTCCACTGCCTTACCCCCCTCCCCCTTAAACGCCCAGTTGACGTTAAGCAGGGGAAAAGTGAATATGTCGGCGGCCCCTAACATATACGTGGTCTTGTTAGTGGAGTTGTAGAGCCAGTTTGTAACACCGAAAAGCTAGGACAATCGCATCGTCCATCTTTAATCGACAATTAACTAGGATCCACGTTCAAGACTAAAAAAAATCTATTCTTCCTCTTCTCTGAACTTAACTGTTAAACCCTTAACTGTCCACGTTACTTAATCTTGTAACCCTTGGCCTTTTCTGAAATCAATTAAGGTTGCCAAAAAATGTTGATCATAAAAAGATTTCGTCTTGAACGCTTGAGTTATGGAACACAATATCAATGTTTTGTTTTATAGTATCAGGTTTTACTTTGTTTTGTTATGTCTGTTTTCTTCATTATCACCATTATAAATATCTTACTTTTTCATTAAGCTTACCTCGCTATTTTCTTTCGTTTAATTACTCTGGTCTACATGTATGAGAACACACCGTGTCAGCGTTCCCGGCCGACCTTCGAAATCGAAAGTTACTTCGTCATTGTTCCGTTCTGACTACTTGTACAAAGAAAACGCCTCCTTACGGTTTCTAATCGGAGCCTCGCAGCTAATCGGGGGCTTAAATGGAATAATTTGGATCGGGAATAACGTAAAATTTTGAGTTGGAATAATGGAATAACGCAAATTTACGAGATGACATGATAATTTTAATGGCATAATACCCTCTTTGGGGGTGGAATAATGAAATTACTCAATTCATTCCAAACATATATGTTAAGATCACAGTCTGAGTTACAAATATTGCCACTAGAGACCATAACTTTGAAACTGTTGAGAGACGATGTATGGCTGCGGCTCCCAAACTTAGCTTTGGGGCAAGTTTCCATTGAATTAAGGAGAATTTTAATTCTTTTAAAACTCTTCTTAAAATACAGCTTCATTTTAGCACAGGAGTTTTCAGTATTTTCAAATTTGGTAATAGACGTTTTTACCGATAAGGCGGCCATGTTGAATTTATTAGATTTAAGGAGTATTATGGGATGCCCAAGGGGGCACTGGCTCAGTATTTACGCGCACTCTTCGGGCAAAAAGAGAACTTCACTGCATATTTCTTGGGAAAAAGGCGATCATTATTACATCCAAACACGGCACCATGACCTTTTTTTCCCATTACCATCAGTTTAAAGAAAAACTTAAAGAAAAATTAGCCCGAAAAGCGCGCGTAAATACTGAGCGAGTATATCGGATCGTGCTCACGCCCCCTGGGCATCCCATGACACATCTCTTCATTTGCATTTTACAGTTCGTTTTAAATCTAATTGAGTTCAGTTTTTTGCAAACTGCGCATTAGATAATATCCACGTGCCATACAACTGATGAATTATTTATCAGAAGTTTTTCTTCAGCAGCAGTTGAAGGAGAATCACAGCTTAAAAGAAATTAAATGACTATCTTATACATATCCGATATATAATATACAGGTCTTTTGTGTGATCAATAAACAAAATTCAAAGTCTACATTTCAGTCTCATCATTATTCTAGTTGGAAAATATTATTCTTCATTTTCACTTTGTTCTCTAGGATCAGCTTAAGAAATGTCTTCGTTCTGCCGACAAAAAAGGGACACCGTACTGAGCTTGAAGGGAAAATTCAGTTTTTCTCCCTAAAGGCATTTTTTTAGTCAAAGAGTAATTATATTTTTATAGATTTACATTCTGATTTATATTTTGACTGAAAGGTCTTCAAGGTGTTATCCGATTTGTCTATGAATATGCTAAAGGCCCCTAATCCGGAAAATAATATGACAATAAAAACTAGTGCTGAAAAAGCTAATGGTACGAATTATAAGGCTTATTTTTTATCGGGTTGGTATTTTTCCAAGGCCGGCGGTTCGTTAAGCCGATTCCACGATTCCGCAAAAGCTAAAAATTGACAATGACTTCACTATTAGATGATTGTAGGAAGACTGCTTTTTTTTGTCAACATTCAGAAAGAATTTAATTTCACTTTCATTTGGATTTCAAGTTTTTTCAGCAATATTTCCGTCCTATGAATAGGATATTTGGTTTTGCGCATGCTTTAAGTGCGGCGTGTACCTACAGCCTCAATTGCAATGTTTTGGGTCTTGCTAATTGTCGTGGATGGTTCGTGGGTGTGGGTAAAAACAGTGTGTGGAACAAGTGCGTCGTGGTGGGTCTTGTAGTACGATCGTTTGTTCAGGCGAGAATTGCAACGCAACAGCTGCATGCTTGGTTAGAAAATAATAATCATACATGTTCCGCACTTTGTTGTCAACAGATTCCCGATGGTTTTTGGCATTTAACATCTCTTGGAATTAAAACCGTAAACCCTTGAAGGAGCCTTTTCTCCTCCCAAACAACATCAATATTTACATACTTTTTATGACTACTTCAAACTTCTTGACTCTTTATACACTCACTAACAACATATTTCATGCGTGAGATCAGAGAAGTGATCGTCTATTGCGGTATAATAATTTCCAGTAGTCACGGGATAGTCTATACATCTGTTAAAAAGGAGTCTGACACTGAGAGTCGCTTTATAGTAATTAATTTTCACCTGTTGCCACTGCTCGAAAATACCAGATTATATCATTATCATACTTTCAGCAAATTTAAGCCTTTTTAAAAGGGGATTGTCTGAGTAGCTTATCTTTGTGGCTTCATATAATATCTAGTTTGCCTCGCTCATCATTACATCTTATTCTAGAGTGACCTGTGCGAAGGTAAATACTGTCGCTATAATTAATTTTACTCTATGGCTTTCCTCACGCTTCTCTTGCAGAATTACTTTAAATCATTTACCCCGGCCGTTATGATAAAGAATTACGCTTTCATAACCAGTTAATTTCCACTCTCTTCATCCACTTTGAGTCTAAGCCATAAAGTTGTTTAAAAATTATTAAAACACCGTCAAAATCATAAATCATAAATCAGTGTTCGTTCTAAGGTAATCAATTTCAGGGTTATTGTGTCTCCCCGTGTTTATAATTTTTAGACCTCGAACAAAGAGACGTAGATTGATTGGTGATTCGAAACAGAATTTTTTATGTTTCATAAGTTCATTGAAATAACACAAAAACAAATCTCGTGTTTCCTGTTGCTTAAGTTAATTTTCTTGATTTTAAAGAATTATTAAGCGAATTTCAGATGCTGACGGCTCAGAAATTGCGTTTCGTGCATCTTTCAGTCTTTACACTAAATTGTGACCTGTTAACACAACCAACATTATTTTACTGCAATGGTGATAGTTTTACCCTTTACGTTATACATTAGGAAACGAAAGTTTCGGGCACTTTTTCGTGTTAGTCCAAAACTCTAGCAAAAAGCAGGCCTACTTATATCGTAAGAAGTGAAACTGATTAAAGAAAAAACCCTCTTACGACACGATCATCAGCGTGATCTTACTGACCTACACATTAAAATGTTTGTTGCAAACATGCAGTTGAACTAACCTTTGGGAATGACCACTTACCAAAAAGGCCTTAATTTTTTTCTTGGCTCTCTTGGACTCGTTCGATTTTAGCTCCTTTATCGGTAAGCGTTGTATAAATTTCTTGTCTCGCAAGCCCATAATTTTTTGAGACACAATTAAATGAATATCCCTTATTTGCATGTGATGAGGAAAGTTTGACTATCATGCATATAACTGCATATTGCTCAAGTATAGTTGGTATCTCAGCCTCTAAGAAAAATGACAATTATATACAGACTGGTTTTATTTGCTATCGGTAAAGTATTACTAGATCTGTTTTTGAGAAAAAAAGGCATAAATATTTTATATCAGTTGTTCATGAAACTCCAAGGGGACATTTCCTCAATTCAAATATCGTTGCCTAGTTTGAAAGAATATTTTTCACGATGGCAAAGTAACCAAATTTAAGGCGTGAGATTCGGGATGAACGGGAAGCGGGAAATGGGAATAAATGATGGCGGATTCGGGAAATGTTATTCTAATGAACTATTCTCTGTCGAAATACCCTATAATTGATCTTAAAAAAAACGCCTTCCCCCCTATTTTATCGAACCAATTAAGCGCCAAATTTGACCATACCATCTTTTTGATCCGATTATCTGCTATAAGATAAGATAACACTTAAGGCCTGGTTAGACGCCGTACTTTTCATGTGCCGAACCTAGCTGTATAAGTTCGACTTTGGAGCGACACTGGTGCGACATCTGATTCAGACGGCGTACCGTGTGTCGAACCTAAGTTAAGTTTGACAAAAGTTCGACAGACTCTGTCGAACTTAACGCTTTTGCCGCACCAAACTAAAACTGCCGTACCAAACTGATTCAGACGCCGCTCTTTTTCCGTACTTAATTCATCAGTGAGGTTCGGCACATGAGTGGAGCGGCGTCTGAACCGGGCCAAACGAAAATAGCAAAGAATAATCCTCAAACCAGAAAAATTAGAGTGGTGTTTGAAAATCTTTCTTTTTAAATTTCGAGTTTTAGTGTTCATTTTCTCTGAAAAATTTTCTTAATATTTATTTTCTCCAAAAAAAGTATTTCCGGGAAAATTCCACTAAAATGCATGAATAATGCTGATTGCTTGTGCCTCACTAAAATGCACGAAAATGTTAATGCTAACAGAATGTAAAAAGCCTACTCACGACTTAACAAAAAACAAAGATGGCTAGAACGGACACTCAAATATTCTTCTTTCCGTTATCGCAGGACCGTGTTTTTTCGCGATCGTTTCGAGCAATAAAATACAGTGTAGGTATTTTGACTCAGACCATGCATGCCGGAACAATTAAATATCAGTGACAACTCGAAGGGAGTTGTATGGAGAGCAGAATGACTTGCAAGCAGCCTCGGGTCTAGGTTTTATCGAGGACATAAAGCTAACGAAGAACGATCTCGCAAAAGAGAATGAAACAAAAGGAGCCAGTTGCCCTGACTCAACTGTACAACAGACCGTTAAGCCTAGAGTGATACTTGTCGTGTTTCAGTACCATTCAAATGAAACCTCTCTAAGGGGAGGATTTTTCTCCCTCTATCAAGGGAGGAAGAACCTAGCACCAAGAATATCCTAGACAATGCCTAGAAGGCGGAACAACTTTTCGTTGGATTAACAAGTAGAGAAGAAGAAATTAAATATGGCGGGCGACAATAAAAAACATGCAGTTTGGCCCTTCTGCTCTCTCTTCTAGCATAAGTAACAGCCTTATAGTAGCAGTTGGCAGAATCATCACAATCATCAGCTCATGGTGACACCAGTTTTGTCTGCTTTGTCCCTAGTACTAAGATCAATACAGATCTTCCTAGCGAAAGCAGTTTTAATGGTGCTAGCATCTTCCTCGTGGTAGGATCTTCCTGCCTTCCAGCTAGGAAGATCCTACTACTAGGAACAAGTACAAACCTTTCCATGTAAACTGAATATAGAAAACATATGGCGCTAGAATGATCCGACGTCTCGAACCTTCTTGGTGCTAACGATCTTCCTCCTTCAATGTAAACAGCGGCTAAGAGCGCTAGCGATTACGTCTCTTACCGACACCTGATTTTGATCAAACACACGGGATTTTCTTCATTTCTTCACTATCAATCACCTTCGCTTGTTCTTTGTGTTATGCCCCGTTAACAAGCGCGGTCGAGTGCCATGTCTAATTGGTATCGAGTTCATGACAATTCTACGAGACACGTCAACTTCACCCGCCTGCTTAAGTGTCACATCTCTTCTCTTCAGCCGTTCCCTTTCATTTAAAAGACAACTCTACCTTGCCAATTTATTCTTAGGGCGATACTTGCATTTTATACTCGTTTTGAGGCGCAAAATTAGGGACAAAACTATAGTAAACAGAATCTTTGAGGACGCTAAATGTGAAACAAGTTGACTTAAAATTTATGCTAATATGACAAAATGATTCAGATAATCTCAATAAATACCTTGGCAATAGTTTATTCTTCCTTGATCCTGTTGAATCCGATTGCGTCAGTGAAAATGCGCGGCAGCGTCGTCAACTGAACCAAGGCTGATCGCACCCTCCGGTAACAAGATCTAGTAAACAGAAAAAAAATTGAGCGGATTTAATTTATAAATTGGACGTTTACCACGTCGTTTGTTTAACCAGTTGTTCCTTTTTTTTGTTTCTAAAGTTGATCTAGCGTGGGTGATCGATAGCTGTCAAGGAATTGATTAGAGGATGACGGGTTACGACTTGCGAAACAAAAAGGGTTTTTTGATAATTATTTGTTTAATTTCGGTTGTGATTAGACCTGTTCGCCCGTTTTCTGGGGCACGTTTTGTGAAAATACTATAAGAGAATTTCGTTTTCTTGATTCAGTGACAGTGTCTTTAGGCTAACTAATGACGTGGAATATCAGTACGTCAAAAAGTACGTGGGGGATTTTTTTTTTCTGCCATTGGCTGCCTCATCACGATATTACCTTTTCTTTTCTCAAGTTTACTATGCCAAGGAACTCCGCACGGATTCCTTCGGTAAACAAGGATCCAATCCACGGCCTACATTTTCATATTTTAAGTTTTGTATCAATTCAGCCTTGGAGGGCTGCCATATGATTTGAATTAAATTTATCTATCTATCTGTCTATCTATCTAAACAAGGTGGGTGGGTGGGTGGGTGGGTGGGAGAATAGGAGACGTTACAACATAAATCAGCGGGTCACCCTGTAAATGCGCTATCATTCTACCCAGGGAAACTAGTTATACCCTCAATCACGTCATTATATACCAGGGTATCCTGAAAGGACTAGCTCCTCATACAGGGGGGAGGGGATGGTTATACTCTTCAAGCACCACATAGTATTTAATCCTGGTTACCCTGTGATGGACCACTATCTCATCGAGTCTTTTCTTAGTATATAAACAAGGTCACCCTGAAAAGGACCTCAGCGTTACTACCAGGGGAAGAGGGCATGTTCAAGCTCTCAGAGCGAGTTGCTCAATAGCTGAATTATTATTATTAAACAGTGTCTCTAGCCATAAAAACAATAGCAGGGATGTTTGTAAAGGCAAATGAAAATACAGTCTACTCACTCTCACGTCCACCTCTATAAGACGGACACCTCTGTAAAACGGACACCTAGAGTCGGTCCCCGCCATTCTTTACTCTCTTTATTTGACTCTCTATAAGACAGACATCTCTCTAAGATGGACACTGAAATAGTGCCGGCCCCAAAGCTGTCCATCGTGACTGTAGATATTTTCTGAGAGCTTTTTATGAACTTCTAGTCAGAAGCTAAAAAATTGAGCTCCGTTCATAGAATACTTTTAATCGGTTGAACCCTTGAAGGACTTCTAGCGTCAGAGACAGTGCAGATGGCTAGGCGGACCTCCCGTCAGCCTAAACGCTATATTGGAATTCATTCAGCGTAAAAAGATCACTTAAAAGAAAAGTACTGCTTAGTAGCTTTAGTTTGAACCACCACGCTTAAGGATTTCATCCGCAAACTTACAACTCAGAACCACCTTGTACAGCATAATAAACAGTGCCACAGAAAAGTACTGCTCCTTCGCTTTCATTTGAATGGTCACACTCTAGGATTTCGTCCACAGACTCAATAGTTAGAACCACCTTGTACAGCATAATAAACAGCTGAAACGGTACCACAGGAAAGTACTGCTCAGTAGCTTTCATTTGAATGGCCAATCTTTAGCACTTCATCCACAGACGGAAAGTTAGAACCACATTGCAAGGCATGATAAACAGCACCACAAGAGAGTACTGCTCAGAAGCTTTCAATTGAATGACCACTCTTTAGGGTTTCATCCACAGACGCAAAAGTTAGAACAAGCTTCAGAACAATAAAAGCACCACTTCAGGAAAGCCGGCGCTGGTCAGCAGCTTAACCAACAAACTAAAACGAAATCAGATTTCTCTTTATTTAAAGTGTATATAAGTCGATTGTTGTTGTTGTTGTTATTGCTGTTTTTTTTTTTTTTTTTTTGCGTTTTAAATCCTTAAATATGTGTATAATATGTATCCGAAATTTAAACTCGTCAAAATCATGGATAATTTGTTTTCGTCTTCAAGGGCGCAAATTTCCCAAAAGATGTCCGCCCTACAGCGAGGCCAAATTGACAAATTGACAAGTATGACGTAGAATGGTCTGCAAGAGTGTAATATACGAAGGGTTGTCAATGTCGATAACTCCCCAATCGTTAGCAGAACCTCCATTTGCTTTGCTATACCTTTCTTACCGCCAAATGCATCGCTTAATTCCACAAAACAAAAAGTGATGACCAGAATTGGAAACGAAGGTTGAGCAAATCAACTGACGTCATATGACGTCATCAGCCTTCTTTACTCGTTTCTAGTCTCTGGGACATTTCTCAAGAGGAAAAAGCATTTTTTGGACGGCCAAAATTCAGAATTATTAATTAAAGATAAGGACCAAAATCAGTTTAAGTACAAACTACAAGGCAGGAGAAATAGAGTTAGAAGTCTGACAGCGTCTTATTCTAAAGGCTCCTAAGGAGAAAATGGAGCACGCAATAAAACTACTCAGCAGGTTTGCTAGTAAACGGACGTGACGAACACAAATTAAAGAGATTATGGCCACCAGACACCAGATTTTTTTTTACCAAAATTAGTTATGCCAGTGTAGAGGATACAGGAAGGCATGTAATAAAATGCTGGTGGTTGAACCGTTTTTTAAAGAAATTATTAACATTTTACTTCTCTAGCTTAAACTATAATTGTGAGAATACATGTACACATCCCACATTAGAACAGATTGGAATGACGGGCTAATTTAGTATGTCGTCTTATACTGTTAGTATAGCAAGGAAAATAATCTTCTTTAACCTTTCCGCATTGTATAACCTCAGAGCTGTCCGAGCACTTTGGATTGACTTCCGCAATTTTGACGGATACGCTTGAAACTATGTCAAAAGATCAAATGAACAAGACCAAAATATTTTTAAGAAAAAAGAAAATAAACTCAAGTTCTGTCTTAAAATGAGGATTTCATTGGCAAAAATTTTTTTTATCAAATCAAGTAAACGATCAACAATCACTGTTTACCCACAATGAGACATTTAAGACAGCTTGCGTCGATTTAAATTGCGAACCCATCAGACAGCACGAGTTTTGTGTCAAAACGGCTATTAATTTACGAGTCTTTACGAAGTAGAACTCGCGTCTCACGCCGATTAATCGCGGAAAGCACTTCAATAACCGCTGTTTATCTCAATGCCCCCCAATGAATATTTAAAATGGGTAATTCTAAAGCTCCGTTAATAATGCTGTGAAATAAAACGAGTCACGTTTCAACGTAATTTTGTTACATTCTGTAAAGACAGTTTGAGGATGCGAAGCAAAGAACCTGAAAAAGTCCCCCTTGTTACACTTGACTTTGTTACACCAACCGTTGTTATAGTACAAGATATTGAAGAAGAGCGAATTTTGTTTTGTTAAAACACTCAAAGCAAGAAAAATCAGCGCAACCGACACCATAGTCCGTCAGAAATTTCTGACTAGAAAGAAGGCAGCCATTGTTAGGTTCGAGAACGAAGCGATGTCTCTTTGCGGTTCACCAAGGACATGTATGAGCTACTGTGCTGTACAAGGCCTTAGCCATAATTAAAAGGAAAAAAAAAACAAAAATGGTGTTTTTACAAGAGCTTGTACTGGAACGTTTTTTGGGGTTTTTTTTAGGAGCGCTAATGAAGAATGGAAATAAAGAAATTAAAGAAGGATTTATACAGAGTGCGTATGAACAAGGAAGAGACTTACCTTCGGGAAAGAAGAATGGCTCTCTGATTACCTGAGGACCTGAGGCATATAGTCTACCGCAGTATTTCCCGTTCGTGGATTTCTAGACAGAAGAAAAAAAATCGTGAAAATTTACAGAAGCTAATTTTTTCCTGTCGTAGGCAGTTTCTCAACATCCGCTTCAGCGTCACGTTTGTGGAATTCCAGGAAGATTTCAATCAAATAAAGGGCTGGGAGGAGTAGTTTTTGATGGCTATGACCTCCGTAGATCTAATATACGCATAAAAACTGGCAGGATCGATTTCCCTACTCTCCGATGCAGGACTGGGCAAGTTATACAGTCACAAACGTGTGAAAGGGCTGCGCAATGGATCGGAATCATAATAAACGTCTTCTCAACTAGCCTGGTTTATGGTTATCGTCCTCATATCTGATTTGGATAATTTAGTCCTAAGGATTTAGCTATTCGAGGAAATGAGTAATTAATGGTTTCCTCCGGTTATTTCAGCCGTCTACGTTTTTACAGATATTGAGTACTATTAAGAATATATTGGAGTAACGTCATAAATTTGACGTTGAATTTAATTTGACGTAGCCGGATGTCTGATCACAAGCCGGGTAAATACGTATTTTTTAAATTTCTCTATTTCATCTAAACTTTTAAACCAACCGTTCATAAAATGATTTTAATTAGATCCTTAAAATTTTTTATGCCTTGAAAAGGCCTTTGACGCGCACTGACAAGACAAATGCGAGAATACAAGTCTTGACATCCAGAACTTAGAGCAACTTTATATTCGGAAGTTGACTTTGGTGGATAAACAGCTTTATCTGAGAACGTCAAGACTAACGCAATCATATCTCAATACAAGACTGCTCCTGTCTCCCTCGTAGAGGCTCCCGGGATCCCCATGGGTATTCCATCAAAAATAGAAATAATAGACCTTGTAACGGTCTTGGAAGCCATCTTGACGAGTAGGCAAGCGGGCGAGAAATTACAGTGTTTGGATGAGAATCTAATGTCAAATAATTTCCGTAAAACGAATGTTCTGAAAAAAAATATAGAGGATATTACATGGCCGCGCGGAGATACGAAATTTCTCTTCGAGTGTTGAAAAATATTTCACTCGTTCGCTGCGCTCACTCGTGAAATATTTTTTCATTATTTTGAATGAATAATTAAACAATTATTGAATTCGGCTTTCGTATCTTAAGAAGAATTATGGAGATCTCGGAGGGTGTTATCCGCCTCGGCCGATGACACCCTCCTCGATCTCCATAATTCTTCATAAGATACTCAGCCTCATTCATTAATTGTTAATTAGATACTCATGCAAACACTGTAATTTCTCAAGCGGTTGCCTACTCGTCAAGATAGCTTCCAAAACCGTGACAAGGTCTGTTAAAAAAACATAAGCGCGCGTTGGACACAAAGAGGCCTCTGCTAGCTGCTAGCTGTACCTATCAGCACAGCTGATAGGTACAGCTAAAAATATTTCACGAGTGAGCGCAGCGAAATTTCCATATTTGGAAAACTAAGACTAACGAAAAATCCAACCAATCAATCACCGTGAAAGACGTGACGTATTTCCATAGTTCCTTCTTCTATTTAAGCATATACGTTACACGTACAACTATTCAAAATATATAAAGAGATGTCTTTTCCTTGCAGATACTCTTCTGGCCTGCAGAACAGGCGCTATTTTTAGCGTTTTTTAGGCGAGCACGAAGCGCAAACATCGAGAAATAATTTTGCGTATTCTTGCATCTGTTCCCTTCAATTTGAGTTCTGTTAAACTCTAGTCTGGTTAGTCTTAAGACAGTCGTGGACTCTTTCGCCATTTTCTCGAGTTCTACACTCATGCCAAAACAGCTATGTTGCCGCGCCATAGGAAACAAGACTGCGATTATATATTGCCTAAATCTTCCAAATTTGGTCAGTGCCAGCTACAAAGAATGACCCGGGGGATGAAAGCAAATAAGAGATAGAGAAATTTGTTGAATGAATAACTAATTAATTGGATCAGTTCACTTCGTCCTTTTTTATCGTGATCTGTTTTCAAGCTGAAACTGGATGGCCTGCTCAGTTATTATTTTTTCATCGATTTTAACTGGTTATCGTAGGCTATGTAGTTAAATTTCATTAACCAGTGACCTTTGCTTCCTCCAACATTTTCATTGGCTGTTCCACTGTTCGATTACAAGCTCCAGATAATCGGACAGCTCAAATCAGACAGTTTTGGTGTTGCAATAGCAAAATTAAGCAATAAACAACGGCGGATGAGAACCAATCACACTAGAGCACAAACACGGATATATGATTGCTGATGAGTGCTTAGCCGACGTCAGTGCTTGGATAGGCAGATGAATCTATATTTACCTCATGAAAAATAGCCACACCACAACACAACAATATCTAACCTACAGCTGAATTTCCGCACCACCAAGAAACATCCACCACATAATATACTATAGGGCGGGCTACAACCGACACTTAGTGCGGGTCTCAGAGACAGTTGACTGTTAAATGTTTCTGAAGAGAAAGATTTCCAAAAATAAAAATTTTGAGGACTTGGTATGACTTTCTCTTCTGTTAAGTTATCACCTTATTTTTGGTGGTTTCAATCGTAATTATCTCTTCGTCTTTAATTTAGAAAATCGCGTTATATCTTCGTTAGCTTTGTTCTGGACAAGTTTCCTTAAGCTAACAGGAAATTTCAAACAAGTGAGATAAAGTAGCTAATGGAAGTCGTGCTGATTAACTTTTGTCCATCAAAATTACTGTCCGGAAAGACTGTATTGCCGGAAATTTTCTTTCACGTTTCCACCCAAAAATTGATCCTTTTTACGATTTCAAGACGAATTATAAATGACATTACTGCTGACTGGAAATTCGTAACTGTAACACAGTACTAAACGAAATAATTAACAAAAGTGCTGGGCAAAAAAGTTGAGTGTGAAAGAATAAATAAAAACGTAAAGATTATAGACTAAGGGAAAAAGTTAGAAACGGGCAAAAGAAAGTTACATTAGAATTGGAACGAAAACATTGTTATGAACCTAAGTGGGCGGTGGGTTAGTTTGACGGTGAAAATAGTGACGTTGTGTCTTATTATAGTTTTTCTTGTTTATTACTTCTTAGAGGTGAGTAATTTATTAGTTTGCGCAGCAGATAGGAAAATACAACACACAAAACTCTAGATTTGAATAATAACTTTTGTAGCGTATCCCAATGTACGAGTTAATCCTGGCTGGCTCAATGAGTGTATAGGTGAAGAGATTGAGTCGTGTATTAACCGTTGCATGCTTGTTCTTTGCGAATCGTGTAGCGTTATTAAACATCTAACTCTTTGAAAACAACACTTGTAGGCCCTTCTGACCTTTTACCTTTTCTGAATAAAATTAATAAAAGAGTTTCTACATTAGTGTTGATGGTTTTCATGAAACGTCTAGGGGGAAAAACATTACAGCGTCCTCATTTTCCTTGTTTGATGAAGTGCTACCGGGCATATAAAAAACAATTTATATCATGTTTTTGTAAATCCTTTTTTTTCCTGTCTTTCTTTCTTTTTTCAATCTAAAGCTTGTACTCTTAACAATGTTAAAGTAAGGACGGATAATTTTCATCTTCTCAGTTTGCCCCTGATTGTTTGAACTTTGAAATGCCTCACCGACAACATCTGGCTTGTTCACTAACAATAATGGGTTGTCCTCAGCGACAGAACTGGAAACATGCATTTGAAATAATTGCTCGTCCATTATTTCTAACCCAAAATAAACGTCGTTAAGATTCAGAAAGGAAAAGCAAAATCGCGAAACGAAATAACTTCTACTTTTAATTGTCTTTAAGAACATGTTATCGAGTGTAAAAAATAACAAGTCAGCAATAATCAAGTTAATATCAGGAAGAGTAACCATTAAAAGGTGGGAAATAGCCATTTCAAATTTCATGAAAGCTTTTTATCTTTTTACTCAAGCGAGAAATGTTTAGTTGATGATCGCCATGAAAATAGGCAAATTTCATGGCCCAAAAGCTCGTAAAGCGATTAAGCACTTTAAAGACCTAGTCTATGGTCTGTATTCTATTGGACTTTCTTTTATGGATAAATTTATTTTTTGAATTTATCATTGCACTATCGTTATCTATATCTATTTTTACAAAAAAGTAAAATAACCTTACCTTAAAAATTGAACTTTGAAATTCCTTCTGTGAGTACGGAAACGCAATCGGCGGCAAGTTCCCCAAAACGGCTGTTTGAATAAATTAAAAGTCATTTAAGCTCATATTCCTTTGTTATTGCCGATGTCTCCCGGGCGTGCGTAATTACAATAAATACCTACCACCACTCTAATTAAATTACACTCATTAGTAGAACTTTGTGCCTTTACACTATTAGTAATATCCTCTTAATACACTTTGCATTAATGCTGACAACTTTTGGGCAACCAATTGTCTGTCACTTCGGACCTTACTCTCCGGTTCAATATCAACGGAAAAATGACCTTCGTCCACGCGAAAAGAACAAAAAAGAAGCCCAATATTTTGGACGACGGGTTGTCAAATTCATGGCTTGAATTCATTATATTTAGTGCTTTGAACTAATTAAGATCAAATTTGTCATTATTTTCATAACATTCGTGTGCGCAATCTGAATCTGATGCTAAAGTCTTTTTCATCATTGAGAAAATATTTGCATTGAAAAAGAGGTTATACTCCAAACCGCTCGAGATAATATCACTGGCCAGTCTTTCTGTTCTAACATGGCCGTATTTAGGGGCATAAATTAACAATAGATATATAGTTTAAAATTATTTGGCAAAAACAAATTCAAACACACACCCTCAGATCATTTTGGAACTGAAAAAACATCATAACAAGAAAACTGATCGATGCTAAAATTATATCTTAACCTGAAAAAGACTTCTTTCATAAAAGAATAACGTTTGACAAACAGGAGCCTTTAGCACCTGCGTTTCCATCCCTACATTAAACGTCATGAAATACTGACTGAGGTAAAAAAAAAAATAGATTATTACCGGAATAGAATGGAATAAAGAAATAAACTTTAAAGGTTGCACCTACATATTAAAAAAAAAAAATTATATTATTAACCCATAGAATATCAAAATGACAAGAGTTCCTCGAATTTGATTAGTTTGTTCTTTGTTGACCCATAACGTAAACAACTCTTAAGATCCGGGCGTTCTTTTGATGATTGTAATGCCCAAAACTGTATTTCCTACGGAAATGTCTTTCTCTATCTCACAATCATGGCTGGCAAGCGTTAATTGCTGCAATTTGAACTTGGTAAGCTCTTTTATTTCTAATTAATTATTTTTTGCACGAAAGTACGCTATTCATCGTTGGTAGTCAACAAAATTACGCTGGTGGATCAGACTCGCGAGAAATCGCGCGAGACAACGCGCGAGATAAATATCAGCAAGCTGCAAGGCATCTTGAGACGAAGAAGAACGACTACAAAAGAGGCTCTTCTATTTCTTTCGCCGTCCCGCCGTAGTTTACGCCTGAAGTGCATTGGTGGATTCTGGGGAAGAGCTGGGGGTCCAAATCCCTGTAGGTGCATCCATCAGACGAAGGGTTTTTTGAAATTTTACCTCTGGTCTTACGTAGCACTTCAAGGGCACTGGCTTGATCGCTTCACTCTGTAATAGAGACCTTATAGGTTCAAAGAGGACGACTAAGAGAACGATATTTTCTCAATACTAAGTAGTGCGTGCGCATGAACCAGCGTCATTTTGGCGGGTAAACGCGATCGCACGCGAGAATGTCGTAGTGACAGAAACAAGTCATCAACTGTTAGAAGTTTTATCATTTTTCGATCGGGAAAGGGCTTTACCTCTTTCATTAAAAAAACACCGTGTTAGCCAAATTTTCTCGCGAAAAAAAGTAAAATGAAGCTTCCCGGTATGTCTATGTTTTTGAGAATACAGTCGACTCCCGATAACTCGCACCTTCAAGCGAAATCGAAAAAAGTTCGAGTCATTGGGAGTTCGAAGAAAATAGCCGAGAGTATGGTAAAAAACAGTTTTTACTGCACAGTGAACATTTTAAGCACATTTAATTGTAGAAATGTCAAGTGAAAATTAAAAGATACTTCTAGATTATTAAACAGAACGTAAACAGAGCATGCGTTTTATTGTTTTGAGAAGAAAAGCTGCTTCACGTTAGCCTATGACAATCAACATTAGCCACCACTAATAAACTATACTCCTACAACACGTCAATACGAAATCCAAAATTCAATGTTTCGGACGCCCGTAGACGGCTTTTTTCCCGACTTTTTAAGGGCTCAAAACATGGTTCGAGTTATCGAGGGTAAAATTATATAGAAAATGACCTGAGGGGAAACGAAAATTGGTTCGAGTTAGCGGGAGTTCGAGTTATCGAGGATTCGAGTTACCGAGGGTAAAATTACAGTGAATGTATGATGGAAATCCAGGGGAAATCGATTTTGGTTCGAGTTAGCGCGAAATTCGAGTTAGCGAGGGTTCGAGCTATCGGGAATCAACTGTAAAATCTCGACCTTCTAGGTGAGCTCGTCCACGAATCTAAAGGTCTCTAATGCAAAAATGTTTACTAGTGACAATACCTGCAGCGAAGAGGAGTTGGAATTATTTGCTTTACAACAGTTGTAACCTTTGCGTACATGTTTCCACCCTCTGCAGAAGTGCCTGGGGTCAAGGTAGCTAAAGAGCTTTGTATACTTTCCAAAGAACATGCTGTAAGCGAGAAAGGAAAGGAGAAAATGAACGAAGAAAACAAGAGACTGAAGGGTGGAGAGAAACAAGCACATAAAAATTATACCAGGTTTTCTTATTATCTAATTTTAAAACAATGCCTCAACAACAACAACGTTTATTTCCACTGTAAATCACAAATAAATTATTTTATAAAATATCTAAATTAAAAATGCAAGGATTAAGATAGAAATTTGTTGATCGAGCTTCACGTACTAGGTGAGCAGAGGTTTCTCTCTTGCATGGCTTTTAGCATTTACGAAGTCGTTCGCGTCCCCTGTCAGTAGCGTAGATGTTTTGTTTTATACGTTCCGAAAGAAACCTCTGTAGCGAGCCGCTTATGGTTCAGGGATTATCAAACTGAATAGTATATACATTTAAGTAGTTTCTGCTGATTGGCTGCGTAGAAATGGTTCATCGCGGCACTTAGTGACGAAGTTCAAATTTTTGTTTAATAGAGAGACAACACGGGTAGTTATGATATAGTTCTTCCGCCAGACAAAAACTTCAGCGGGAGGTTTATTATTTTTCCTTTTTTTCCTTGGCATAATTCACCAAAGCTATTTTTAGACCAACTAAACATTTAAGATGATCTGAGGTTGGTTTCCAGAGAGGGCCGCAAACTTTTATTCAGCATTGTCAGGACAGAATTACGATATTCTGAATTTGGTGCTTTGAGGACTTGATATGAGCGGACGTCTCAGAAATTTGACTTACTCTTAATATTACAACCTCCAAAAAAAACTTTAGCCAACGCCCTATGCTTCCCTCTCCAAGGCTGTACTCTAAGGAAAATTGAAGGGAGCTCAGAGCTCTGAACCTGTAAAATCAAGGGTGTCCAGCATATGATTTGTACGAAAATAGTACGATTTCTGGGCCATAGGGCTCTGCTAGAGCACAGCCCGGCTCTCTGTCCCATTATACCCTCTTGATTGAAAGGGAAAGCTACAGAACACAAGCAGACAGGCTAACAAAGACCAGACAGGGGTTTCTGATACTCAAGCTAAGATAGGATGCCACCACAAGTCAACATTCTCTCAAGCCCATTAGGCTAGTGACCCAACCCCTTTCTACTTTCTTTCTTTCTTTCATTTTCAACCCAACCACCAGAGTTCTCCCCTAAGCAGAAAATATTATTCTACGGGCCTGTTCGTTATTTGTAATATATTAATCATTGCTACGGGGGTGGGGTTGGGTGGTATGTTGAAAATTTGCACAGAGTAGGTCAGGCACAATTCTGAAAAGCAGTTGCAAATGGGCCAGACACATAAATCTAAGTGGGAGACAATATATACCAACAGATCAGTTTAGAATTATCAAAATTCACACTTGGCTCCGAAACACTCAAACGCTAACCAATCACTAGCCTCAGAAAACAGCCAACATTTCACAAAGTCACAACTGGTTTTCCTGTGAAATGATGTCTGAGAGACATGCCGCCTGGGAAATTTGCTTCAGCCAATGAATCAGAAGCACTACCTAGATCTGGATAGTGATGTGTCGGCAATATGGAATTTCTGTGCTCATTGCCCAGGCATCATTTCAAAGGGAAACCAGCTGTGGCATCGCAAAATGTTGGCTGTTTTCTCAGGTTATCCAATCACTATATTTTTTTGGAATCTTAAGATTCTCAACCTTAGTAGCCACACTGTTGGAATGAAGCTACAATGTATCAATGCAGCCATTAACTCAAAAATTCAATACGATGGGCCAGCCAATTTTATCTGTGGTGAATTCTCATGCCCAGCCAATCTTAGTTTCTGTCAGTTTTCTTTTTTTTTTTTGTGATTTAACTACCAAGCATTCCATAAAACACTGAGAAAAGGCCTGATACAGATTTTACTAGGGGTGACTATTGGGGAAATTTTAACTATTGCAATCGTATTGCAACAGGCCACATGGATATTGCAACAGTATTGCAATATTAAAGGTACTATTGCAATTGTATTGCCATAGCTTTCAGAAATATCTGTTTTTACTTAATACCTTATACTTTAAGAAATAATTAACAAGTGGTGGTCATGCAATACAGGACGGTGCAAAGCAGTTCAAGAATCAAGACGCTAAAACATTCTAGGTGCTGTAGGGTGGTAGATTGTTTTTTAGCATTTTTATCAGTTTCTTTTTTATCATTATTGTCACCTTAAGAATCAAAGATGGGTAAAAAAAAGGTGCCTCTATTTTTCCAAAAAAGTCAAAATGTTAGACGTATGGAAACTATCGAAACTATTGATAGTTCTCTACACTATCACGATTGTTATCAACATGTTTTATTTTTGCTATCGATCCATGGCTACTACAGCATTAATATTGCGATTAATTGATAGTTCGATGTATTGTTAAAGCCTTAGATTTTACCACATGATTCTAGGTAAATTGACAGAGGGGCAGCAGTGCATGAGACTTAAAGGAAGAGGGCGACTCCATATTTCACGTAAGACATATTTTTGGGGTGTATTTTTTAAAATTTTACTTAAATAACGGCCACGATAAATGTTCCACAGCTATGTAAGTGAACTGTGCCTCGACCAAATGCAACGGTAGCAACACAAAGACATTCGGCGGAAACTTATTTCAACGATCTTGATTTATGATTGAATGCCAATATTTGCCCCTGACATTCACTAATCAGGAATAATGATTTCCGGCGAAATAAAGACTAAATCTATCTAAAATAAATTGGCATTACGGTAAGATTTCCGCACAACCTCCTACATGTAGCCATTTTCTACATGTTTCGACTCTATTCGTATAAACTCTAACCTGTTCGTGTGAAATAGGTACGCTTCGAGCATAAAAAATGTAGGGGACTGTGCGGAAAAGTGAATTACTCACACTGAAGTAGTCTTCCGACTTTTCTGGTCGTTTCTTTCCATATATTTCTTGGAGGAAAACCCCGAAAAACGCTCCATTTCCTCCACACATTTCGTATGTACCGCCTTCGTAAGGCGCGGGCGCTAAGCGCCAAATGTTTGGTTATTCTTTCATGTTACGCTTACGCCAAATTGATATAGATATATCCTTCATGTAATAGTAATAGATTGTTTATCTCCATGCATACCCTGTACACCCCTGTATACCCTGTATACCCATGTATACCCTGTATACCCATGTGTACCCATGTATAGGCGAATCTTTGCTGACGTCATTGTTTACATTTTTCCTCATTAGCATACTACTTAACTCATAGAAGCCGTGGCCGTATATGTGAACTAAATGCAAAAGTTGAAAGAGCTGATCGATTAAGTTGAGCAATTTAGTGCAATTTTCAGCTCTTTGCAAGCAATATTGAAGGAAATATCAGCCATCAAAAACTGCGAAATTGCTGTGTGGCAAAAAGTTAATGAGCCATACATTCTCCGTAACATTTCGAGTTTTTAGAAAAGAATTTCTCCGAAAACATTCATTGTCTTGGGCTCCAATTTTCAGAGATAACTGAAACTGTTATGTCCTTTCAATATTCAGAGTTTTTATTTTATTAGCGTCATCAGATAGTCATAAGCATATGTTAATGAGGCACAAAGTGTAAACAAAGATTCGCCAATAATGTTTGTGTTTGCTTAGCGCCCTCGCCTCTAACGCAAAGAACATAATTTCGTACCGGGAAGGATGGGTACGAAAACAAGACCCACATGTTCCGTTCAGGAAAAGCGCACTCGGTTTTGAAAAACCGCCGCTTTTGAGAAACCACCAAGAGAGCAAATATTAAGGGAGATACAGGCATTCAAAAAAATCCAAGACGTTCTGGCAAGTGTCAAGTTTTTGAATGGCTGTTTCTTGTTCAAGTGATTGGCCAGATGAACCGACCAAACGGGGACAATGTGGGCTCAATGTGGTCTTTCTTAACATATGGGTCTTGTATTGAATTTCCATGATAACCAAGTCATATCCAGTCTCCCATGGTATGAAATCCAGCCATGCTTACGTACGTATGAGACGTATAAGCGGGTACATTATGCAGCAAAATGTCAAACGTAGGAAAAAAGGAAGTCTTCTAATGCTTTTGACTCCAAACTGAGTGCCGTTCTTGGGAAAAAAAAAACTGAAAAAAAAGTTCTTAGAAAAGGACTTTCAAAAGCAACAAACTGGCAACAACAGTAACAAGACTTCTAAGAACTCAAAAAGTCAAAAATTTTAATTAGTGTACACAGAGGCCCGAATCAGTTAAATGACTTGAAAGCTTGTAGTTCATAAAACTCCTGTATAAGGATGAATTTCAAAAGCCATTAACAATTATTCCTCGAGCCAGAATGGGCTCTGAGTCAATAACCCATGAGGCCGAGGGCCGGATGGGCCTTGACTCAGAGGCCATAAGGGCAAGAGGAATAATTGCTTTAGTAAAATCCAACTAGTTGGTCAAAAATATCGAGAATAAAAACTTTTAGCTAGTTAAAGATAGACTTTCATCCTTTTTTTGCCGCCAGAAAGCCCGCGCCTTTCGCTATTAGTGGGCTATAACATATAGCCTAGTAGTATCTCAACCAATCAGAACGCAGCATTGATAATAGACCACTAGCTGGATTTTACTAAAGGCTATTGTTGCATTCTAGTAGGGCCAATCAGCTATACTCTTCACTCAGTAATAAAGAAGCGCTGCCTTAAAACTGTGTGAAAATTAACCGTATAGAAAAACAGCCCTAGGTCAAGGACGCGTCTGACAAAAGGTCTGGAGCGAGGGAGGAAAATGGAGAATGAAAAAAAAAAAAAACGATTTTGAGAAATAATACTGACTACTTGGCAATCTAAAAAAAAATTTATGCGCACATTACGTTCTTGTCTCGATTGTCTGTCAGATCTCGAAACATTGCAAAAAAATGAAGTCAATCGGCCGATATTCAATATTTCCTGTACCCTTAGGGTCACAGAAGGCCTACTGCCTCGTTCCTAGGGGTCTCAAGTGTTTGATAAAAATAAATAAAATGCTACTGCGAGCGATTAAGGAGTATCGCGCATTGGACCATGGAAGTGTTAAGCGTTGGCGCAAAGGAAGCTGGGAAGGAAGGGTCGCCTTTTCCATGATCCCCTGCACAAAACCAAAATAGCTGTAGTTGCACTCAAATAAGAATCCGCTGGAACGAGCCTTGGGATGAGGCAGGAAGGTGAAGCCTGTGCAGCTGGCGGAATTGTTATTTCAAGAGGTTACGTTTTTGGCGGCAGGGTCAACTTGCTCCCAATCTTCTCTTGGCTCCCTCTAATCCCGCCGGCTACGCAGGCTATAGTAGGCGTGGTGAGAAAAGAAATGCTTCGAGCATAATATGGATCAAGAGTCTCAGATGCAGTACTTATAGCAATCTTAAGCTGAAAATGAATGCCACATTTACCATCAATAATCTGTCAACAACAAAGATCGTTATGGCACCATTGCACGGTTTGTCGCCTTCGCTTTCGCAGCAAGCCACTCCGCATTCTTTTATTCCTTTTTCTTCCTTCATGGCTTCGTCCTCACAATTTTTCTTCATTGCCTCGCAGTCGCTTAATAGTCTACAGCCTCGTTCTTCTGTTCTTGTATTGTCCTCCTTAATGATATGCCGCTTAAAGCAAGTGTATTTCGCTTTCTTGGAACACACCACCTCATTTTGGTTTTCTTCGCATTGCTTCTCAGTGAAGTGTTCGTCTTTTCCGACGCCACATTGATAGCACTTGAATGATCCGACTATAATGAAAGAACATGTACATATAACATCGTTTTCAGTCTGATCTTAATACGGGTTAAGAATATATATAGTTACATACAGGTACCAAGGAATATAGCTGAATATAATAAACGACTATTCAATTTACAGGATACAAAAAACGTTTTACACACAAGCTTTCGATTCCCTAGAGGAATCTTTATCAAAATATGGATACGGGTGTTCTGTCGCGTAACTTACGTTGTGATTCACGTGAAAAAACGTCTCGATAGACCGCGGGGAACTCGTAACTAGCATCTCTGTTCAATGTTGGAGACACGTCATAGGAAACCAGATTCTGACCCTGTGTGACTGTTAGATCAAATCACAGTCTGGAACACAAACGATCGATAGAGAGAACTCTCTTTCATCGATCCGAGACGGTTATGTTATCATGGAAGACAATGCAAGGACAAGGAAATATTGAATTGAAACGTCTTAAATCAGTCCTTCAAGACAACAGCTACAAACAGTGGATGTTTAGAATCTCGCCAAAGACAGGTACGAAATTAAAGGTAAAGTCGTCTCCGATAGTGCTCACAGTGTCTCACTTCGCTACGTGCAAAGAGTTTCAGAAAAGCTTACAAAAGTTTTCCAAAAATACGGAGTTGGCACATTCAACAAGCCTTTTCACACCATCTGGCAGCATTTTCAGTGGAGGATTCAGGGGAGGTGTCCGGCTTGCCTCCCCCCCCCCTGATTTTTAGAGCAAACTGAGGCCCGAAGGGCCTAAAAAAAATTTTTTGAGACCGGGCCCAACCCCTTGCCTTATCTCAGGGTCTGGAGGACCGACCACCCCCCATCCCCACCCCTCCCCCCCTTTATCTGAAGGTCCAGATCCGCCACTGATTTGGTCCACCTCAAAGATCCGAGACCAAGGGGAAACGAGAATGTGGAAGTTCAGTGCGAAGGCTGTGATGATTTCTACATTGGGGAGACAGCTAGTCCTTTTGGAATGAGATTCAAGGAACACGTTGCAATAACAAGGGCGTCAACAAGGGCGGTTGGGGATCATCTAAAGTTGTCAGGCCGCCAGTCCTTCGATATGTCCTCCTTTGCGATCCTCGCGAGGGAGGGGGACACGTTCAAAAGAAGAGTTAGGGAGGCCATTGAAATATTTTGTCGGGCTCCAACATTGAGCAGAGACGCTAATTGCGAGTTCCCCGCAATCTATCGAGACGTTTTGTCACGTGATTCACAGTGTAAATCACATGACATAACGCCCAAATCCATCTCATGATAAAGATTCCGCTAGGGAATCGAAAGCTTGTGTGTTAAAAGTTTTTTCCCATCCTGTCATCGTTTATTATATCATTATGTAACTCTTTTTTGGCATAAAGGTACCAAGGAACATTAGCCAACTTTCGAAAACGATAGCCATTTCCCAGGTTACTAATCTTCAGCAGAAAGAGAGGACTGCGCAAATTGGACTGAAAAAAGCACAGACAAAAAATAATTTCTGTGTTAATTTAATTTCTGTGTTTTAATACCAGCCGTTCTTTCTTCGTTTCACTTCAAGTTCACAAAAGTTTACAACAAAGAATTCAACTTATTTACATACACGAATGGAACATGTGAGATAAGGCCAGGGCTTGTTTGTTAAGGAGAGAAATATAAATGTTGATACTTCTTAGGGTACTCAGTCCCACTTCCGGGTAGAAATATACACTGCTTGGACAAAGCACAGACAAAAAAATCGCTTTGTCAACTGCCGGAATAGGCAGTTTCTTTCTCTCTTAGTCCAGATGCACTACCACTAAGCTACAGGAGAGTCTAGGGATATAAGACCACCTCAGTGGCGGATTTAGCGGGGGGCCCGGGGAGCCCGGTCCCCCCCCCCCCCTTTATTTTTAGACCAAACTGAGGGCCGACAAACAAATTTTTGGGAGACCGGGGACCCCATTATCTCAGGGGCACCCAACGTCAATTTTCGGAAAATATAACTGTTCGGAAGACGATTTGAGATCTAGAATTTTCGGAACAGTTGTAAAATTTCTTGCTCGCTTGCCTCTCCTTGGATTTTCGAACATCTGAAAAATGGTGTAATTGCCTATTTTTAACGGATTTTTACCCTAAAAAGGTCACCTAGAATTTTCGGGAGCCTTTTTTCGGGCTGAAATTTTCGAAACGCTACGTTTTGATCTCTATATTTTTCGGATCACCAGACTTTCAGCTAGGAAATCCGAACAGACGAAAAATTTTTAGGGGATAAAAATATGCCTATATCCACCGTTTGAGTACTAAAACACGTTTAACAATGCTATATTTAAATGGTTTTGGACTATATTCTCGTTGGGTGCCCCTGATTATCTGAGGGTCGGGATGGGTCAGGTGACCTCTGAAGGTCTGGATCTGTTACTGTACCTTACCACGACTGAAATGTCTATATGTGCTTACGAGCGATGGTAGAAATGTGATGACTGACTGAAAACTTATCTTTCGCAGGAAGATACTTTTAAAGGTACTACATTTCAAACGCTGCGCTGGCTAATTTCTTCTCGCTCTTTTTTCGCACTTCAAGCGATTTGGTCTTGTCGCCTTTAATATGCCATGAGAGCCTCCTGGAGCACGACATGATTTAAAGGCCTCATACTGAAACCTGGGGTTCAACTGGCTGCACTTGCAAGTGAAGAAGCTAAGGCCAGAATAGATATTAACAAACTGTTTTATTATATAACTTAAGTCATTTTCATGTCTAAAACCCGAGTCGCCCTAAAGTGCTGAAAGTTGTGCTCAAGTCGAGCCCGATCTTCTCTTTATCGACAATAGCAGGACGTTTGAAGCGGGGACTAACAATGGTGCTTTCGATGTTCTGCTTAAGAGCTTTTGCCGTTTGCCAAAAACGGGCGATCCTTGCTTTTACCAAAAAATATCTTAAAGAGAAAATGAAGTCGTTACGTTTTCTACGAGTAAACGTACTTGGATTTAAACAAAAAGGGAATTTTTGATAACACTTTTTTTTGCAACTTAACCGTGCATTGTCACACCGTAAAGGAACTTTCAGATTTTACCACTTTGTTTATCTGCTGTGTCATCTAAAGTACCTTATTGTTACGGCTATGACGTCGTAATTTCTGTGTTTACCCGCCGTTCTTTCTTCGTTTCACTTCAGTTGCACAAAAGTTTACAACAAAGAATTCAACTTATTTACATACACGAATGGAACATGTGAGATAAGGCCAGGGCTAGCTTGTTAATGAGAGAAATATAAATGTTGATACTTCTTAGGGTACTCATTCCCACTTCCGGGTAAAAATATACACTGCTTGAGCCCTTTTTCGATCGATAGGTTAAACATTGTTGAACAACAACGCGTGTACATTTGCATAAAGCCCGTTCAACTCTCGTAATTTTTGCACATTACTTTTCCAAATGTTTGTTGCTATTGGTGGTCGATGCCTTATTTTGGACAAGAGAAGAAACGTTTTTTGGTAGTTTATGGTACTTTATAAATCTTTCAACGGCTTCATAATCCGATGAATCTTCTTTTAATTATGTACATGAATTTACAAATTTTAAACGACAGCCTCAATTATTTAACAGGCTTCGCAAACGACAGGTATAAATGTTGCAATGATCTAACTTTTGCTATGAAAAGGAGAAAACTTGATATATTTCATGCTATTATCCCTGGAGGTTATCTGAGTACATGACTTGAAGCTTGAAGATTAAAGCGATCGGTGACAGGAAATCATAAGGGCCTTGACTCGCGTAACCGCCATCAATACTCCTGCGATTTATGATTTAATTCGGTCTCCGTTTTCACCTTGTAATCGATCACGAGTTATTCCACCCACTGATAAAATAAATTTAAAGAATTGAAAATCACTTCTCATGTTTTAGATAAAGTTTTCGTTTTCTCACCTGCATCAATAGCCCAGAAGATCAACAGAAAAGCAAAGTGAAGATTCTTCATGCTTAAAATGCAAAGCGTACTAAGAGCCGATGTAAACAAAACAAGATGAAGCAATATATATGCAAAGGCAAATGAAATTGGCCAATCATGAAGCAGAATAAAACGGTGGCCGGTGAGGGACATTTCAATTTCTCTTTTTTTTGCTTAAGTTATCGCGCGATAAGTTAAAATTATCGCGCGATAAAATGAACAGTTATCGCGCGATAATTAGTCACTTTGTCGCGCGATGAATTGCAACATATGACATGATAAAGAGAAGCCTGACCTCACGCTTTCTACCCACGTGTTTATAGCCTTTAATTCTCAGAGTTTAGCTTTTACAAGTATATCTTTCAGAGACCTTCCTTGTTTGTACGATATAAATGGAGGTTCTTTGTAGGTCTGTCTAAGAAGAGGTTGGTTCTCTATCAGTTGCCAGTGTTTCATAAGAATGTTTTTTACAGTAAGGCTAGGAACTGATGGTTGATATTGCGCGACAAAGGGCAAAATGGTTTTTCCTCTTGAAGGTTTTTGTTGGAGTGCTTCTTTCCTGTTTTCAAAGTGTATTTCAGAGAGAGTTAGAGCTATTAAATTCTGTATTAAAATATCCTCTATCCAACTATAAGGTTATGCCAATCAATTTTGAAACGCAGATTTCCCTCCGTAGATAAGCCCCTTCGAATATAAGCCCCTCAAAAGAGGCCTTTGAAAAGTATAAGCCCCGGGGCTTATTTTCGGAATTTTGCGGTACCTAACCTAAAGTGCGAAAGCGGAAAGCAATGAAATGAATATTGCTTTAAGGAAAGCGGATCTGAGGCTTTAGAATACGATGATGTCATACATAACACAACACATGCCCCGCGTGAGGGATGCTATGGAGGTTTTGGTGTGGACGGGCGAAAAAGATTAGAATGAAAGCGAATGTTTTTGGAAAACGGAAAAAATTCTCCGTTATTAAAAATATCCGGATACGTGTGGACGAGGCAACCAAAAAAGGGATCTATAAAAAAGTGATGAGGAGGGGTGTAGGAGTTTCAGCTTTACCTGTAGGTTTTTGGGTTCGCTATGTGACATTGTTTTGCTTTTCTTAGCAAGTATGTATTTTTTTTTTCTGGCTGTAAGCATGTTTGTTTTGGATCAATTCAGGTTTCTGTGAAACTGCCCACCTACCCCTCCCCTAAGCCATCATTTTGTCCTAAGCGAGAAGTAAGTGTTAATGTTAGCTTAGGGGAGGGGTAGGTGGGCAGTTTCCATGGATTTTATTTCCCGCTCATTCACGTTTCTAAATAGAAAATTACTTAATACATTGATAAAGAAAAGCACCACAGGATAGTACTATAGCTTTGATTTGAATAATCACACTTAAGGATTTGATCCACAGTCTAAAACGTTAGGCCCACCTTGCTATTGCCCTTGCACCGCCTAATAGACATAACCACAGGAAAGTAATGCTCAGTAGCTTTCATTTGAATGGCCACACTTAAGAATTACATCCACAGATTCAGAATTAGAACCATCTTGTACAGCATAATAAACAACACCCCAAGAAAGTTCTGCTCAGTAGCTTTTATTTAATAGTTACGGCTTTCGGATTTCATCTACACACTCAAAAGTTAGAACCAGTTTGTACAGCACCATAAACAGTACCACAGGAGAGTTCTGCACAACGGAAACGCTTTACACGTTCTCACTAAGCTTGATTCCTGGGTACATTGCTGTGGTTCTGTCCCAGTAGTTCCGCTTAAGCTCAGAATTTTCGAGAATTTTTATCATGAATAAGAAAAGGCGAGACATTTTCCGCAGAAAGAACAAACTTTAATAGCTACTTTTACAACAGATTTCACTAGGATCCCAAGGGTTTGCATAACAGTCGAGAATTCTCCCCGTCGTAAAGATTTAAAGATTGCAGAGCGGGTGAAACAAACGCGCGCGCGGAGAATCGCTTCCCGCGCGGGGACGCCCCTCCACCGCGCGCCGCGTCTCCCCGAGCGAGGTGATTTTCTCAACGCTGGCGCGTTTCGTATTCTCTTATTGCACCAAGAGTATCCAGAGACAAATCGTACTTTCACATGGGGTTTTTAAGCAAGCTGTACAGAAAGCTAATCACAGGTGTGACGGGTTGTTCAAAAGGGAAACCTGCTTCGAGCTCGTTGAAAGGCAAATTAGAATTACCCCCTTTCAAAAACAAAAACAAAAAAATCGACAAAAATCTCTTAAGAAACAACGCAATAAAGAAGTCCTTTGGTGTTCCTCTATTATATACAAAATGTGTTACATATTTTTTCTCATATAGCTGGTTAGCCTATTAGCACTTCGGTCTTTAAGCAGGGGTGCGTTTTACCCCGTTGATCAAATAGAACACAACTCTTATCTGGCATTCGGTAAACGAAGCTTCTTGGATGAGCTTATTCTTCTTATATAAACTATGATAGGTGATGATTCTTGCGATGTGGATAATCACGAGGACAATATCGCTGATGGTAACAGCAAATGACGATGACTGCGATGATGATGATGGGGATTGTGACGATAATGAAGATGATGACGATGATGATTAAGTTCACATTTATGATAACGGTGATGATGATGATTGATGATGATGATGGTGTTTACAAAAATGATGACGATGAATATTATGTTAATAATAACAATGCTGATAATGATTATGTTAATAATTATGATGATGATGATGGTCATAGTGGCGATAATAGATGACTATGATGTTGATACCGAGGATGACGACACCAGATGATCATCACCCTGGCAATGGTAAAAATACCAACAAAAAAAATTTTGCTCAATAGTCAATTAGCACCGTCTGAGGTTTCTTACGGTGCGAAGACCGTCTAACCTGCTCCGTAAGGTATTTTTCCGCTGTAATCTTCATAACACTGCCCGATAACTTTAATAAATGGCATGAAATCTTTGCCTCATTGCATTTGGCTCTCGCTTTCACCACGCTAAACTTCCATTTCTGCTCCATTTTGCACAACGTTGCCTTGACTGACGATTCCGTTCTATCACACACACTGCCAACAGCGTTACACGCACATGTATGTCACGTCTGCGAGTTAGAACTTTGCAAAGAACTGTTCTTTTTGTTCGCTGGAGGTTTGAGGTAAGGATCTTCACACAGTGTCAAAACATCTGCTCTCTCTTCTTTCCGGTATATCAGGCATCGACGGATAAAATTCTGAGTGAAAACCAAACACAAATGAGACTAATTAGGAAAAATGGGATGTCTGACTTGGACCTACGAGTACTGAAACCAATTTGCATCTCTAGGGTTCAAAAAACTCAGTTTAGAACAAAAGAAATTTATTATTCATTGTTAAGCCTCAAGTTGATATATTCTGTTTTATTTGCCTAAGCCTTTGAGCCAAGTATGGATTATTGGTCTAATGCTACTGTGAAAGCCAAGAATTTGTAGCCTGAGAAGACGCTTGGAAATAATGGGCGCAAGAAAGAACAAGACGCGTGAGGAAGACACGCGGGGGGAGGCACGCTCGAGGGAGACACACTCCCTTTCCCATCGGCTGCCTCCCTCGCGCGCCTCGTTCTTTCTTGCGCCCATTACTTCCAAGCGCCTGTTATACAGGCTAAGACCTGAGGACTGTTTCTATGAACACAAAACACCACATCGACCAAGCTTTTAACCAAAAACGAGGACCTGTCGAGTTAATCAAACGATTAACAACGACTACAGATAATAACCGAACAGTTCCAAAGAAACTGGGAGACTTCCAAATAGCTTAAACGTACGCAGTTGCAGAGACCATCTGAGCCCTGGTTTCTTTACTCTTAATGCTGTTAATCATAAAGGACGCAGAAACATACCTTTGCCTCGCTACTGACAACCGGTTTAGCAGGAAATTCCACCTCCCTCGCATGCAGAATTGTGTTATTTTCCAAGATGGCGGCTTGAGTTTGATTGTGGCCAAATGGCTGAAAGTACACATAAAAATTAGAATCTTTGTAAAATGAACGTAAACATAATCGCACCCATTCTAGCCCCCCCGGGGGCGGGATACTTCCTATAGTGGCCTATACGGGATGAGGCTCCGCCCGGGTACCTCTTTTCAGGGGCCCCTAAGGAGACCAGTGCCCGAGTTCAATGGGCCACCCTGTCGAATTAAAATGTTTTACTTAACTTAACTTAACTTTACCTTACTTTACTTTACTTTACTCAAGTGTATGAAAGGGTAGGGAGGTCTGTCATTTCGGTCGTTAAAAAGGCCCAAAAGAGCGAACAGACGCTTTTTATGGTTGTGAAAAAGTCGAGAAAACGTACTGATTTATTTATATTTTAAAGACTACATTTACACCATTTAAAAGGGATGCAAAGTTCTAAACTAGGTATGTGAAAAGGGTGTCATTTGTTAATAGAAGGTAAACGAAAGGGGTACCTTTTTAGTCAAAAGGATAAGGGGTTGGACCTCGGGTCCCCATATAAGACTCTGTTGAGCTTTGCTCGCAGCTCGTTTCCGTGCGTCCCTGTGACTGTAGTCACTCTAAACGAAAGCATCTTCACTGGTAAGGCAACATTACAAGTTGAGCCTCCAAAAGGATAACCAACGTCACCATTTAGCCTTAACCACTCAAACGCCAACAAGGCAAATAAGAACGCCGGTTCTCATCTTCCAGCCTGGAAGATGAAATCCCAGGGTGTAACCATTCGAACTAAAGCTACTGAGAAGTACTTTCATGTGGTACTGTTTATTACGCCGCGCAACGTGGTTCTAGCTTTTGAGTCTCAGGATGGAATCCTTAAGTCTGACTACTCAAATGAAAGCTACTGGGCAGTAATTTCCTGTGGTTCTGTTCAGTACGTTAGCAACATTTTCAACACACCTTCTTTCCATAGAGCATCTGGAAAAATATTACTCCTACTGACCACACATCAACCTGAAATTGGAAAATGAAAATTCGTAGTCTGCCTAGCTGGCTGGTTTAGCGGGCGAGTTCTGTATTTTTCGGCAGGTTCGCCGCCCGCGACAATCCCTCACAGCTTCAAATTAGAAATTAGCCCAGGCGGGGGCCCGGGCAAAATAATCTCGCCAGCTGCGCGGGCTAGATAATTGAAAGAAATCAGTTGTTCTCCACTAGCCGGGTTCAAATTGTCGAAATGTAATAAGAGGGCAGTCTGGTTGAAAGCGTTGTTTTTCGTTTATTTCCGCCCTGTTTCTCAAAATATCTAGCCAAGATTACACTCCATCCAGAAATGACTCAATTAAGTTGGAGTCCTTGGTTGAATAATTTTTGGAGAATTTTTGGATGATTATTCGAATGTTTTTAATATATAAAAATTAAGGGGGATGTTGAAAATTTTGGAAAATTGCAAACATTAATATTGATTTTGGGAGTTGATAACAATTAAAATATGAAGGGAATAATTAGAAGACAAATAACTCTGATCCCATTAGCGGACTGACATGATTTATGTGTATATCTTTTCTACCCTCATTTATTTCCTTCCCAAATCAACATCATTTCCACCCCTTCCCCTGACCCCCCCAAAAAACAGAATGCGCTCTAACAGTAAAGATATTCATATATGACGAGTATTCTTCTTATTTTCAGTCAAAACTCTCTAAGGGACGCGTCTTAGCGAGATGTGAGAGGTGTCCGCCTCCTACAAAGTTAAAGAAAGTGAATGGAAGAACGGAGGAAACAACTCTAATTTCCCGTTTGAGGGACTTGTACGTCTGATAGAAGTCCCTTTACAAACCTTGGACGAGATTTTAGGCGGCTCTTTTCCGACAACAAAGCACTCAGGGGGTAGGTACCAGTAGGTGCCAGCTCCTTGGGACGTGAGTTCCATGCTGTCATCACTGCAGTCCATCACTTTACTGAGACCGAAATCTGTGATTTTCACCTCCCCACTGAGGGCACCCGTGCCAACCATGAGAATGTTTCCTGTGAACCAAACAATTTGAAAAATAGGCTTAAGTACAGAGTACCCAGCCATTCAAAAGCTCTACCTCTAAAGCAGTGTCTAGGTGGAAAATGGCTCTGCGGCTACAAGCCACTTTAACCCTTTAAGTCCCAATAGTGACCAAGATCAATTTTCTCCTAACAATACCCATGCACTGTCAAGAGATAGGTTATAAGAATTAATAAAATGATCACCCAAGAGAAAATGCCTTGATCTATTATCAACTTCTCACAACTAATTCTTTGAGGAAATGTATGAAGATCAGTTTGGAGAATTTGTATGTGGATATCGGGGATTAAAGGGTTAAGCGAAGCCATGTAGCTGCGTAACCACGTAGTCAGGTATAAACCTCGTTGTTTATGGTGATCTTACACGAGACGATTGGCAACGACGATTTTTAGCGCAACACAGCGTTGGAATGTTAGAATAACGTTGTAACCATTCGAAACAATGTCGCATTGTAATGCTGCATTACGCTAAAAATCGTCGTTGTGAATTGTCCCGTGTAATATTACCTTAAAGCGCACTGGAGAAGCCACAAAGTAATTAATGTCATTGACTATCTTGCCCACACTGAACCACAAGTTCTCAAAGCGATAATAACATGTTTTCGTCAAACAAAACGTGGCGTTCTTGCCAGGATTAACACCTCATTTTCAAGATGAGACCACGGGCAAAACCTTTTAATTTTGGGGGAACCAAAACGATTTCTTTCATATCAAAGGTAACGAGCTTACTCTCGCAGAGACTTGGGCAACTTAGAAACGGGTTATTTGTACCTTACTTACACGCGATAAAAGGGGAAAGACGAAGGAAAACTAGAATCGCGCAAAATGTGACAAAATAATGTATAGAACAAGAAAAGTAGCAGACGGAAAAAAGGAGAAAAAGAAAGCTCTAGTTTTTCGTCCTTTGTGTTTACACGAGTGTTATTCTCCCTTTCCCGTCTATAACGTCTGCCATGCTTCTATACATATTTTCCAAGGCTTGTGAGACGGTACATGTTTTACTATGGTCAGCTGCACCTAGCAGTGCGTACAGGTTTTTACTCTCGTCCGACCGGTGACAGGCTACATAAATTTTTGGCCACGAGTGGGGAAATAGGGTCTTTGATGTCTTTTACCACAACTAATTAGCTAATTGATGTTAAGATGAAAAGTACCTGGTTTCAAATCATAGTGAATAACTGGTGGTTTTATCTCGTTTAAATACTTGAGGGCGCTAACAGTCTAACACAAAGAAACAAGAATTGTTGATTAACAAACACCACAAACAATATACCGTAAAATTCCGAAAATAAGCCCCGGGGCTTATATTTTTCAAAGGCCCTTTTTGAGGGGCTTGTTTTTGGTGGGGCTTATATTCGGAGGGGCTTATCTACGGAGGGAAATTTGCGTTTCAAAATCGATTGGGCTAGCCATATAGTTGGAAGTAAATTTACCGTATTTGCTTTGTTATACTTTGTATTTGAGGGCAATTTTCCAAGTACAAGCCCTCGGGGGGCGATTTAACGGAGGGTTTTTTGCGTTACCGGTTTGGGGGGCTTATATTTGGAGGGGCTTATTTTCGGAATTTTACGGTAACAGTTATAACAGTGCTTTGTTGTTGTGCCCATGGCCACTATTACCTTGAATAGTCGTAGTCTGGGGTTCAAAGAAGCAACAAAGCTATACTGCAAAGGGCGTGCGACGCGCGCGCTTCGCGCAAAAGTCTAAAGCGGGCGCCTTGCATAATCGACTTTGAGGAAAATTCCCGACTGTTTTGTTGGAGTAGTTGAGAC